TGAGAATCTGTTAATGTATCACCTCCACATACTATTGTTGTAAATGAAGGTAATGACTGTCTATCCAGATATGAATCTTTCTTCTTTCTTCTATTATTATAACTATACTACATCCATCCAGCTTGACAGCTGATGTACGAGGTCTAAGTAATGTATTAAATTTAAGACACTTTAGCAGATGCTGTAGAGCTTGCAGTTCATTACTACTTACATCATTGAAAAGGAAAATGTGTGCAGGTTGAAAGGAAAAAATGTGCTCTAGCTGGCAATGAGACTTTTTGTCAGACTATGTGATTAATATCAATTTGACTTCTGTTGTGTGCTTTTCCAGCTAATAAACCTTATTTACCTAAAATTCATACTAATCTTTAACCTTGTATCAAAGTCTTTGAGCAGTTTTATTGTTAATATTTTATTAAAATATTTATTTTAATATATTTTTCCTAGTGAAAGGATGAATATTTTAAATCTGGTGCAAATCAATGTTGTCAGGACTAGAAGTAATCTGTGCACATGACAGAGAAGGAAACAGCTTGCCTTCCTCCTTTTAGGATATTTTATATACGTTCAAATATATTTATATTGTATAATTATAGCAATAATACATAATTTTATTTTACACAAATATATGATTGTCCTTATAACACAGATGATGAATCTTGACCACCTGTTTCATAGCCTCTGTTGCAGAGGACATGTGAAGAGCTTAAGTTTGGTTAACAGCACCAGCTTTCTGCTTAGTATGTGACATGTTCTGTGAGCTCCTATTTCCTGCACTTGGATAATACATGGATTTGATTTACTCAACTGTGTTCAGTGAACAGGGGGTAATCATTGGGCAAATGTTAGACTCTATGGTACTTAAAGAAAAAGAGATTACTATCTGACTACAGTAAATATATGCTTGTATTTGCGAGCCCATCAGCATTTACTTTAAGAATATAGAGTATCCTCCATAATCTGTCCTTCTCTAATAGTACCCCCATACAATTCTGTTCGTCTTTAAATTCTGGTAATTTAACTGTGCATTTCTTGTTATGAATCAGTTTACAGTTACTAGAATTACCCACTAGTGGATACATTTGTTATAGCATGTGAAGATAATCAGTATCAAAACTCATGCAGTTAGTTCTTTTTTTTTTCTTTTTAACAAAGACTGAACAGTTTTGCAAAAATCAGCCATGGATCTCATAGCTCAGATTTCTTCATACAGATCTTCTCTCTTGTTCAATAAACCATTTTTAATGAAAACTTCAGTTCATTACAATAACTAGCTTTTTTTTTTTTTTCTAGTGCATGGGGAAGGGAAATAAATAACTTTAAATTTTGTTAATTCAGTTTCACAGCTCTTTCATTTGAGTATGAAATAAGAAAACAGTGGGAACTGAAATATCATGACTTCCTCTTATTGCTTTTGAATAAAAATAATAGTCTGCTAGTCGTAAAATTTTGAAGGAGAGCAAAGCAGAAACAGCAATTTCTGTTTGCCAACATCAAATACTGTTCCTTGATTTCATCTTAGTTTTAAATCTTAAATTCTTAATTTTAATGAACAACCAGAAAGAGAGCAGATAAACCTAGTATATTTAATGTAAATGACATTCTTCTAAAACTTAACTGAATAGTAAGGTAGAGAAATAGAATTTAGTAAAAGTGTGTAAAGGAACAGCTTGATAATTGCAAAGCTAAATTTTTATTTTTTTTAATTTAATAAAACTTAAGATTCTGAAAATTTTAGGCTTGCATACATAAGTGTATTTAGTACATCATTTAATTAACCATTCATTGGGAAAATAAAACTTACAGGTGCAAAACAAGATTAGTGTTAAATTGGATTTCTGCTGGCTGACATACATCATTAAAACTGATAATTTTGAACAGCCTGCCTTGATTCTCTATAACAGGTGTACAATTTGAGTTGCATTTTCTTCATCGGGTCTTGCATGTGAACAAACAAACAATCTTAACTTAGGTATCATGGTGCTTTAATGTCCCTAGTTAGCCTGCTGGGTCTGTTGTCTGCAACTCGTTATCAAACAGCTAATCAATTCTGTGTTGTCTAAATACTATTTCAGGGGTGTTAACTGAATATGGGTAATGCATGTTAATAAAACAGTGCTCAAGTACTTTAGTGGTATTGATTCAACAGTAAAAATAGTTCTCAATATATATATATTTCATCACAAAAAGCAAAAATAATTTTGTATAGGTATAGAAAGCACATGTAATAAAAGAGAAAATGCTATCATTACCTGTTCACCATTTACTAAAAAATTGCAATTGAACCAACTTGACTACTACTTTATCCAGCTGATACATTAGAAGCTTTAAAACCTATTGATAGATTTATTTCTTTACTTAAATATGAAAGTTGAGTTCTCTCTGGAATGGCAGGTTACTTGAAGTTCCTGAATAATGTCTGAAGAAGGGCTCTGAAAGTTAAAGCAGTTAATGAGCATAGCATTACATAAAAAGGGGAGAAGGTCAAAGTTTGTTTAGTAGATCTTCTTGTTTTAATTAATTTAAGTCTACATTTCCAGTTCTTATATGATTTCTCTGTACGAAGATTGAGGTTATGTTATGAAGCTATTAAGGTCAGAAGGGGAAGAGAAATTAAAGAATGTTGAGGATAAAAGCTCTTCACAGCTCTGAGGAACAAAATGTGTTGTACTGACAAATGTATTTGTAAATTTTATTTAAAAAAAAAAAAGGTACATTTAATAACCTCTAAAATTTGAAATGATTATTTTCTGTGATTAAACACTGAATGCCTGATTTATTTATTTTATTTTTTACTGTCTGCTTCACTGATTCCTGAAATGCTTTTGAGAATTTACGATGTTACTTTCAGGGAACATTGTCTTGCAAAGTTTGCTAACATGAGACTAGTTTTCACAGGTTATTTTCTTTGAGCTTTTGAGAAATTTCTGTGTGTGTGTGTGTGTGTGTTTAGAGCCTCTTTCTATATAGATGCAAATGACAGTAAGGTTGGAGACTGTAATCCAGCCTTTACCTGCAAAGATATTATGCCTTTTATAAACACGAATTGCATATAATATTAACAAAGGATATAGGAGACAAGATATTTGTTTGTCAAGCAACTATGCATTTCTGAATTTTTCCTTTTTAACGAAATAAACATTAGATATTGCAAAGAATGCAGTTATAAATCCAGAAATGTTCGCAAGTGGTCTTTATCAAAGATCTCTGGAAGATGATGTCTTGCAATAAATCTGAAATTACTTATAAGTTGCTCGTAAGTATTAAGGCACTATCTTTCATCAGCATATCCTGAACTAAAAGTTAGTGATTATAAGCTGATTTTCTGGTGTATCAAGATTATACACACTCAAGAGAGTTAGACTTAGATCCTCCACAGGAGAAAGGAGCCCTCCCTGAAAGGCATGTAATCAGAACTGAAAACTACATGTTTTTATTCATGTCTTTTTACTGGGTTAATTTGACACCAGAGTGTAAGAATGACTGTCAGATTCTTAACTTAGATGCTGTGCAAAGTCTGAGAAAATCTTGGGAAACAGACTGTACAAAGTAAGTGAATTTTAAGTGTCACTGTTTAGACCCCTTGGGCCTGGGTTGAAGTGCTGCTGGTTTGTATTTGAACAGAACCACAAATGTTGAGTTTCCTGAAATGAGTGGTAGAGGTATGCGTTGTGTGCGCTCTGTGTACAGCTAGTACTTGCTCAGTTGGGACAAATCCCAGAATTACAGAATGGTTGAGTTTGGAAGGAACCACTGCCCAGCTGCTTGCCCAGGTCCATGTCCAAGTGGCTCTCCCTCCAAGGAGGGAGGCTCCACAACCTCTCTGGGCAACCTGTTAATAAAGAATAAAGATCATTTCCAAGGGTTAAATGAAATAGTATGGGCAATATTACTGCTTGTTTAACATACATAAAAATAGCTTCAGATCTCACATACATCATGGAAACTGTTGGAAACCACTGACTTCAGAGACTGTATCCGTTTACACAGCTTGTTTGCTCTAATCTCGTAAGCACTGTAAAAGTGTTAGAACTAAATACTTTCTGAGAATGAAAGGAAACATTTAAGGGTCATAGTAAGTACGTTAAATCTGTATTCACTGAAGTATCTTCTATTCCTGCCCTTGCAAGGCAAGGGAGAGGAGGACAACATGTAGATAGTTCCATCTTTCTTAAATTAAAGAAACAACTGGCTGCTCTACTATTATATGCTTGCTAAATAATGGAGTGTATTTGGAGACATAACTGTATCCCAGCCAGCAGATAGCATGCTTTTCAATTTAACATGTGGTAGCTAGATGGTCTCTTGCTTTATTGACTGATTCCAGCATCAAACATTAGGTTTAAATTTAATCTGTGTGTGTATAGGAAAGTGATTTCCCATTAAGTCACCTGCACAAGATGAATCAGAATTTTCGTTTCCCCCTATTCTCCCCATATAAATACTGTATAGCTACTTTACCTTTACTTTATTGTTTTATTTCTTTGTAACTAAGAGTTTATGTTTGGTTGTCAAGTAGTAAGGCACCAGTAAGGCTTCATGTCACCTGATTTATTATCTACAGAGAAGACAACATTTTGTTGTTGTTGTTCTTTTTGTAACCTGATGGTGAGGAGAACTTCTAGATCTTCTCATGTAAACATAGTAACAGCAACTAGCATGTTTTTGTTGTTGTCCTCTTTTTTTTTTTTAATTTTCTTTCTTCTTACAAATCTGCTTCTGTTTCCCGGGAGAAAAGGGGAGAAAGGATAACTGAAAATTTGTCACCTATGCTATTTATTTATTTCATTTTTCTCCATGTTGAATATATAACATGGTTTGTAATTCTTATTTTTTTCTTGTCCTTCTTTCTTACGAAATCCTTTGCAAATGGCTATTTAGCATAAGTGAAGAATATGTTGTTTTGATGGCATTTCAGATAGAGACTATGTTACATTTAAGGGTGCGTTTTGATTGAGAAAAGATTATATACCTTATTATATGATTTCTTCTTATTTTAGGCAATTATACTTCTAACTGAACTCATCAGAGAGAACTTCAGGAATAGCAAATTGAAACAATGCCTTTTACCAGCACTTGGGGAGCTTCTTTACCTCGTAGCCAGTGAGGTAAGACTGTCAAATGATCCTTACAAATTTCTGTAACAGATGTGGGAAAAAAATCCTGTGGAATAGTAGATAAAAAAGCAAGTGATTTTGCCATTTGTATTCTCAAGTGTTTCTTGTTCTTGTATGTTCTGTGATACTTTTTTACTTTTTAAAGAACATACCAATCCTTTCATATACTCCATTTGATGTAAATTTAATCACGTTCTTCAAATATAGAATTTTAACTTTGTGAAACAATTGCCTCAGTCACCATAATGACTTCAGGCCTCCAAGTGGCAGATGTGAGAGTTAGAACATCTTAACTAGAGACCTTGATTAAGAAAGGTCTATCAGGACAACCTATGATATCAATAAATTAATATATCTAGTCCAAATTAGATCTGATTTTACCATGGTTGAAATCACAATGCTGTGGAAAAGAAATTGGAATGATCCTGGCCAATTTCAAAAGAAATTATGGTGATAGCTGACTAGATTTAAACCTATAGTCTAAAACTGGTAATGTACTTTAAAAAGTTACTTATAGTGAAGAAATACTATTACTAGTGGAACTGAAAATGACAGAGCTTCTAAACTCTGGCCTTTCTTCTCCTTATTTCAAGAATAAAGTAGTTTCTTTAATTTATTGGAGATGAATGTGATTTCAAACAGAAGAAATCTAGCCCTAGCTTCTCTGAATAATTTGTCCTAGCTGCATCATCTGGTTGGTCTGAATGCTATCATGTTAGTTTTCAGTCTGTGAGGTCACTTTGTAAAGGAATGAACGTACCAAATAGATTTGTATTTTGACATCTTATAGGTTAACTTCCATGTTGTATTATCCTCATCTAGTCTCTTTTCATGTTCCATGATGAAGCGGTTGCCTTTTTTTGCCTATGTTAGTAGGCATCATCTTTTACTGGTTAGGCAGTTGCTAAAATCTCTGTCAAACACACATGTCCTGAGTCACAAAACATGTTTTCACATTGAGAAATTGTGTTATGACAAATAAGTCCACATGGACAAATTATTTTTATCTGTTTTCTCAGTTTTCTTTAGAAGAAAAAAAATATATACTTAGCTTGCAATCTGTCTGATGACGTTATATAATCTTTAACCACTAATAAAAACAAACCTAAAACTCCAACTTGGAAACTATATATGGCAATATATTTTGCACTGCTTGATTTTATTTTAAATTAAACTTTTGTAATTAAAACAAATCTGTCTACATTGGCTCTATAATAGGAAAGTATTTTGATTGCACTGAACCTAACACATTTTTTTTTTCTTCTGAAATTGTGAGCTGGGAAATTTTCAAGTCTGTATGTATTTCTGAACTCCCTAATGTTAGAAGCATGATAGCTTGTTCTAAATGAAAACTCAGTATTTCAGGAAGAACTATAGCAATGTGTTGAACTGCTTTGAGTTAGAAATTATTAGAGAATAGAAAGATTTCTCTGCACTTATGATATTAAAGCACTGTGTCTTGGTAAAACTTCAAAAATATAGTGTGATTTGTGTGCACTAACACTTCAGTCATATTTTTTCCTTTTTTTAAAAAAAAGCTCTTTGTAAAAAGCTTTTAATTTTTCTACACTGTACCTGTGCAGCTTCAAAATGCTGTAGTGTTGTAGACATTTCATTGCTAGCTGAACTGCAGAACAGCAGTATGGAATGACCTTGCCAAGATTACACACCAAGTCAATGGTAGTATAAGAGGTAACAGTAAGGTTTATTCCCAGTTTATATCTTCAAACAGCAAAGTTTTTTTTACACCTTAACTAACATATGAAAAAGATAACTGATTCATTAAAAACTGTACACAAGCTGCATTTTTTTTATTATTTTTTTTTAATTTCCTTCCATTTTGATATTTAGACTGCTTGATTGTCTTTTCAAGTTGCTAAACACTTATTAATTAAGCCCTTAACTCTGGGAACATACCTAATTTTTATTTATTTATATTTTCCCCTAGCATTTTGCTAAGTGCTTCTAGGTCTTACCTCAACGTTAATATTAAATGATGATTATTTCTTTTTCAATTGATATAAGCATTTGGCAAATCTTAAATTATCCAACACTTAAACTATCACCTATCTAGGTACACAGTGATTCATTTGGTTATATTACAGGGTCTCTGCTGTTCTGTGGCTTAGAAAATACTGGAGAGTGCAGATAATCTTAGTGGACCTTTGCAATCCTAAACTTTTATATTGTTCACGTACTTGCATATCAGATCTCATAAATAAGATCTTGCACTCTATACATGCATTTTTCTTCCAAACAGAAGCCAAGAGCAATTAAGTGTAGCATGAGTGGACTCCAGAGAGGATGTTCTGTTACTCTTAAACAATTTGCATTAAGGGAAACCTTTCAAGTTCTGTGTATTGTTTCTGTTAATTTCATACTTTAAGTTTTTATTAGGGTGAAGAATCTAAAGTTTAATCAAAACTAGCATGAGCTGTGAGCAAAATGTAGGAAGATCTTGAAATGTTTGGTGATATACGTAAATTTATTAAATGTAAAATTGTGTAGGTATGCTTAGGTAATTAAGAATAGTGATAAATTTTATTTTTTATTTCTAACTTGACACTAAAACTTATAGAAAGCTATTCATATATTTAAAGAATGGAGTTTACAGACTGCATTGTTTCTTAAAACTTTTTTTTTTATTATATTTAATATGTGTAGTTACAGAAAATTTGTCAAAGCTTCTGATTAATTAGATGAATAAAACGAGAAATAGGCCAATGCTTGTTACAGCATAGGCTGTCATTTTAACTGTCTTCACTCCTAGTCTTGTCCTTCCTCTTCTAGGTGGAGGCTATAGTTTTGGAGTTGCTGATATCTCTATGATGTTAGTCTAGATATGGAACTTGTTTCAGTCAAATCATAATGATACCTGCTAAATTTAAAAAAATTACAGTAGGTTACTTGGGGGAAAAAAAAAAGGAAAGTGGAATTGCAGAATCAAAATCTTGATTCAAATAGCAGTGAATCAGCCTCTAGCAGGGTGATTTCAAGTAAATATAAATAAGGATCTTGGAACAGTGTTGATAGGTACTGAAGGGTATTCCATCCAGTAAGTTTTATTGAATGTTTTGTATCTCTCTGAATGAATTACGAATTCTGAATGAATTTTTCCAAAGTGAATTTACTTTATTTTAGTTGACGAACAAAAGTAATTTTGTTTGGTGTAATTAAATTTAAGAGAAATATTATTACATTTAATAAACAGGTGTCTCTTTGCAAGGTAATCAAAATGTTTGAGACAAGTGCAAAATCATTTTTTATGTAAAAACCAGAAGGAATTAATGAAACCCAGAAATATTAGGAAAAATTCTGTAATGGATTTTTGGAGACTTTATTTAAATTACTAAGATACCAATTTTTGTGCTACACGTGAAATAGCTTTAAGTGGTAATACTGCCCTGCAATTTAATATATTTTCTAGCATATGGTAATTTGAAAAGTTTATAATGTGAACCTTATTAAGAATGTTACCCATTTTTATGTGGGTGAGATTATTGTGATTTTTTGATTTAATCATATCTGCTGTTGGCTTCATTTCAGGAAGAAAAAAAAGAGCACCCCAGAGAATGGTTGGTTGTTCCCTCAGCAGCTTACACTGTGCTAATGAGGTGTCTTCGGGAAGGGGTAAGGCTCTTTCATTGTCCTCAGTAGAATTTCTCCACTGTAATAACCCTTTAGGCATTGTGTGAGAATTGTAGCCTGCAGCACTGCAGTAGCTTGTCAACCAAGTATTGCTCTTGAATTTAAATAATGATGATAAGACCATGACCTAAGCAGGAGATGAATGCAAAAATCCAATGTTGTTCTCTGTGCGTTCAACATTTATGTATTATTGCCTGGTTTTTGAAAATGGTAAATAAAAATTACCGTTAGTAAATATGGAATTTATTAATGCTGTGACTTTCTTGTGAGAAGTGTTCTTCTCACCCTCTTGCAATTTTATTCTTTTTTGTATAGTTCATTTTTAAATGAGGTTTACCTCTGATTTTAAAGTGGCTGATACAGTTTTTGAAAACAGCATTTTTATCTTACTGGGTTATTAGTGCTCTTTTGAGGCTCCAAAGTAGTAACTAGTTTTATTCTGTTAAATGTGCCATGCTATATTCTTAATTTTTCTTGGTGATGTAGCTATGCTACAAAAAGGGAAGAAAAACATGCATATAATTCCAATTTGTAAAATAAAAAAGAATTGAGTAGAGGGTTGGCATTTACTGTTTATATGAGACCGCTTGACTTTATTTTTGCCCAAGGCAAAGCTCAAGGCAGAAAACATGATGGAGGTTGCTGCAGGGGGGAAAGCAAGAGAAATATCTTTTTTCATCTTTTTTTGAGATCTTTATTGGCTACAGATTGTGATTAATAGAGGAAGAGTCTAGATGCATTTTAACATCTTCAAATCTTCGGGTGATCAAGAGCATACAACTATGTTTGTATTGTGAACTATTTGGAGCTCATAATTAGAGTAAAATGTTGTTCTAAGCACATTAGTCAGAAGCTATTTAATTATAAATTTATTAATGGAAGACTTACTATTTTTGAACATTCGATGTAGGAGAACTAAAAGGAGATATCCATAAGACGCTAATTAATTCTTATGGAATTAAATCAATTCTTAGTCCTGAAACATGTCAAAATTTTCTTAATAATTTATATTAATATACTTTTAGCTAAAAAAAAAAAGTATAGAAATACATTTCCCATGCAGTTGCTTGAATTAATACTTCTGTAAACTTGAAATTATGTCTAGGCGAACCAAGCACAGATTTCTACAGTTGCTGTCTGCGAAGGTGCTAGATGTTTGTAATGGACTTGCTTAAGTATTCATGCTTGTTTGTGTGAGTACAGTGCATACATGCAATTACAAGTTCCTCTGTTTCATGTGTGGCTGCCTCAGCTTTCTTGAACAGCACCATTTGTAGAATCAAAAATATCAATAAATACACAAAGTATTTAATAATATATGGGAACAAGAGAACAACTTACTGCTCACTATTTTGCTGCTTTTTTACTACTCTTGTAGCAACCCTCTTCTTATCCTCTGTAACTTTACAAGTCACTCCTCTTTTTTGGAAAACAATGTTGCAGCATCTAAAACTGGCTAGTTAAAATCAAATTACTGTTAGACATCTGTTTGCAAGAGATTGTAGTTTTTTAAGGAAAGAATAATCAGATACAAAAACAAGTTCTTGTGCCAGATGCTTTGAATGCAAGGGTAAAAGAGAAATGAGCAAAGGAAAACTGAGAGAGAAGGATTTTAAGGTAATCAATGTAATTTATGGTGTACCTTTTAAATATTTGTTTCAAAACATGTAAGACTGTTGAAGCAGATGTATCCACAATGACAGTATATCAGACTTCTAAGCCTCTTATTATTTAGTGAAAAAGTAGATTTCACCATCTTTAGCAGAAAATGTTACATACAAATAAATTGATTTCATGATTTTTTATTAAAAGATTTATGCAATGTCATCAAACTGACTGAGAATATAACCAAATGTCTCTGTTTTGTTTGCTTTTTAAACATGTTTGAAGCTGTAAGACTTTAGGATGTAATGTACCTCTGGAGGTCATCTAATCCAAGCTCCTGCTCAAAGCAGGTCTCAATAGATGAGATTACTCTAGGGACACGTCCATTTGACTCTTGAAAACATCTGAGTGGAGGTCCAATGGCCTCCCTCGTCAACCTATCTCATAGTGGACTACTCTCACTGGAAAAAAAAGTATATAATTGGAATTTCTCTTGTTACAAATTGTGGCTGTTGTCTCTGGGGACTGAACAGCTCTCTCAGCCTCTCCTTGTATCTCTTACATTCCAGCACCTCTGTGATGAGAATCTAAATGGCACTATGGACAAGAGGAGGGCACTGAATATTGTATGCCTTGATTTTAGGAAGTCCTTTGACACACTCTCCCACACTCCCCTTGTCACCAAATTGGTGAGATATGGACTGGGTGAATGGAAGATGAGAGGTGGGGGAAAATTTGCTCGAGTGATAAGCACAAAGTCCAGCTGGAAGCAGTGTCCCTAAGAGGACAATACTGTTTAATGTCTTCAGGAATGGCTGAAGTATATTCTCAGCAGGTTAGTGGAAAACAGCAAATGGATGGTAGAGGGGAGCAGCAGCAACAGGCTGGATGGCAGGGCTGCTATTCAGAAGGACCTGAGCAGACAGGAGAAATGGGCTGATGGGGAGCAAAAAGTCAGTAAGAGGACTTTTAAGATGCTAGAGTAGAAGACTGAGAAATTATTTTATCAGTAAGGGATCACAAGTTCAGTTTCAGTGGACTTCAGCGCTTCTAGCACAAGGTGGAATTTGACTTTGAGTTCAGGCAAACAACAAGTGTGTTCAGTGGTGTGTCAAAATGAGGAAATTGGTGTACTCCTAAATAAGTCAATGAGCCCAATCAGACATGTTTTTACTTGGTATAATGTTGCAGTTTCTCAAAACCCGTGTAATAAATATTTCAGTATTTATTTACTAATATTTTCCAACAACTGTTTCTAATAACGACATAACATTTCTCTTCCAGGTATCCGTGTCTAAAGTTCAACTTCCAACTATTTGTGTGCAGTTTCTAAAATAGCAGGGTCTTGATTTATACAGCTGCAGGTGTTAGTTCCTACAGCAATTAAGATTATTTAATGTACGTATTCTCAAAACAGACTTCAAAGATTTTTCAGGGCTCTTGTCCTTGTTTGCCTTGTTAAAGTTTACCTCTGTGGTCAGTGGGCATTCCTGTGTCAGAAAGTCGTGAAACATGAAGGATATTCTAATTTAATATTATGTACGTAATGCTAACATGGCTACCTTTTTCCTTCCATCCATTTTACTTAGTTTATTGCTCTTTCCAACTACCTGAAAGGAGGGTGTGGGGAGCTGGGGGTCGGCCTCTCACAGGTAACTGGTGATAGGACTAGAGGGAATGGCCTCAAGTTGTGACAGAGGAGGTTTAGTTTGGAAATGAGGAGACATTTCTGCTCAGAAAGAGCAGTCAGGCATTGGAACAGGTTGCCCAGGGAGGTGGTGGAGTCCCCATCCCTGGGGGTGTTTGAGGAAAGGCTGGATGTGGTACACAGGGACATGGTTTAGTGGGTGACATTGGTGATAGGGTGATGGGTGGACCAAATGATCTTGAGGGTGTTTTCCAACCCTAACGATTCCTTTGCTAAAGTTACCCGTGTCTCCTTCACCATAAATATATTATCCCATTTCTTACTTAAATCTCCTCATTGACTCTACTTATATTTTTTGCTTTTTTCTATCACATTGAATGTTCAACCTACTTTTAACTCAGTGAGATCTCAACTTTACTTTTGCCCCTCTTCACGCTTACGTTCAGTCAATCCTCTTGTGTCTGCTTCCACGTGTTTTCTCCCGTATGTTTGATTCTCTCTCCCCTCAGATCTTCTTAAGCATTTTTTTTGATAGCGCCCATGGAACTGATAGTCCTTCCCAGATCCAGACTGCTTTTTCATGTCGTTTTTAACTTGTCTCACTTTGGCTTGGATTATGTTGCTGTGGCCTCATCCTTCCCTGAGACTGTCATGCTGGACAGTGGAGTCAGAGACTGTGTGTAGGACTCCTTTTAAACCCGTGTGAAAGCAGCAAAGAACTATTGAAACAGTTTTCAGGAGCTTGGTGTCTGCCCCTTTCTGCTTAAAAATGGCACGTAAATACAGGATACAGTTATAAACAGTTTTAGCAATTGCTTTGTAGAACCTGGAAAAAAACAAACCAAAAAGAAGAAAAAAACAAATATCATGATACAGGCAATACAACTGCCTGGATAAATTAATGAATACAACCATAGCTAATTTACTGTCTTTTAGAAAGTACATAACCCTCTCATTTTAAGAAAGGCTGTGGAGAAACTATTTGAACCAGAAATAGTGAATGAGGTTACAAAGGTTAGTTTTCTTTCTCTTAATGTGTTTTTCAAGGTACTGTGTAAGCAGGATTTTTAATAAATTAGATTGTATCAATAAGTTATAATGGTGGACCTTTCTCTCTTTTATGTGGTCCTCTTCCTTTATGAGGGAGTAAGATATAAATCAAAGATTTTTGGTTCTGAACTGATAAGAACTTTTAATAATAAAAGGTAACTTTAAAAACTATCTTCCAATATGTAATATAAGGCAATAATAAATATAAGGCAACTGTATAAATGATTTATAATCATCTGCTAGACAGAGCAGTTCATTTACGGTGAATTTGGAGGAGAAAGGAGAATTTGGATGACAAGAGTAGCATTATGGTCTACTTTCTCAGAAAGTATAGGATAAATTATAGTGTAAAAGTGATAGTCTGAATCATATATATTCTCACTTTTATTTCTTCTTTATGTATCAGTTTTCTGCTTTACTGACAGAATTGCCTATAATGTAATAGTAGCAGTCTAAATCACACATATTATCACTTCTGTTTCTTCTTTAGGTATCAGTTCTCTAGTTTACTGACAGAATGTTTTTTATTTTTTCCACAAAAGGTACTTAAAATGTTATTTCTACACGTTCCTTCTTTGTGGAGGCTTTTTATTGCAAATTGTTGCCAAATTAAGATTTAATTCTTGAAGTTGTGAATGCTTAGGATGCTACAGCTTTGCTTTATTAAATTATGTTTGTAATTTCTTTTTATTCTGTATGTAGTCTTAGATGAAAGGAAGAACTATATGGAAGTTGATTTAGAATATTGATGGAATGCATTGTTACTTCCTGATTTTTTCAGTCAGCTTTTCCAACATTTCTTTATCAGCATTACATTTTTACTAAAATGCATGTATCTATATATAGTACAATATGGAAAAACTAATATTTTTTTTAACTTCAGTTTTAAATGAGGTTAAGATATTTTTATGTAGTATTGTTGTTTAATGTAGGACCTCCCAGACTACTAGTGCAGTGTTAGCTTTTTCACAATCAAAAATCTATATATCCAGGTCATTTCAAAAAATGAAGGTAGATCCTTTGATAACTTTGATTTGTTTATTTCTGTGTCACAATTGGAATAGAAAGGCTTAGAAAATAGAAAAGAAATTCTCTTTTAGCAGTTTACATCTGTTTACTGTTCTGATATTTTGCTTTTATACAGAGGGTCCTTTTGACTGAACATCCGTGACCAACTGAAAACAGACACATATGCAAATGTTCAACATGGCTAAAAATTAGAAGCTCTATCTTTAAGTGCAATTTGTAAAACTAGTTGAAATCTAAAATGAGTGAAAGTATAGTGTGTCTTTTTGATATGGTTTTATTCATGGATTTAGATTTGATGCAGTTCATGATATAGTCAAAAGTAATAGTTACATACAATCTCTTTACTTGTATTTTGAAGATACTTTTTTTTTTTTTTTTTCTTTCCCCGCACTAACATATCTTATGTCCAGATAACTTGACAGGCTGCCTCCTATAGTTAAGAGGTCAAATATTAGTTTAGGTCAGGCTTTCCTTCTAGAGAGCTAATTAAGCAGAAAATGGTGCAAGTCTTAATTATTTAGGCAGTGCTCAGGAATAGATCTCAAGAGAGTGGAGATGGACAATCACATGTGACAATAAATGGAATTATTATGACAGCCTCACTGAGTTTTTAGAGCATTGTGATCACATATAACCTTTTTCTAGTCAACGAATTAAGACTATGTACTGCATTTATTAATTGTTGCTGCCTGTTCAAAGTATCAGTGGAGCCTCAGTCAGTGTTCCTAATGATCACTTGCTTTGTAAGAGAGATTGAACTTGACTGTTAACTTTTCAATTATGTTTTTCAAATGCATATAATTAATATGATAAATCGGTGTTTTTTGTTTTTGTTTTTACCTTACCTGTAAGAAAGAAAGAAAAAAAGACTGAAATTCAGAAGTTTAATACACAGAAAAAGATATAAAATGAACATTATATATATATAAAAAAAAGTTCTCAGAAGCTTAGTTTTGGTGAATGAGTACAGGTATTTAGGTATTTAATAGACTGAGATGATTCAGTATGTTGCAGTAATAAGAACTATGTAAAACCAGAGAAATCTAAACCCCCTTTGCTTTCATGGCTGTAAATCAGAAGTAAGTAGGAGTCAGGGTTTTATAGTAGAGCATAATTGGTTTAGATGGGAATTGGTTCTGATATTTCTCTTACGTATTTTGAGTAGAGCTATAGTTCTTTAGAAGAACATGAAGGATTAGATTTAAAATGAACAATAAAAAAATTTTAACAGCACTATACCAGAGTTTCCAAACATTCCTACATCAGTGTCTATATTTTAGAATAAGTATTTCTGTAGGAGGAGGAATGGGTATCGAATATATTTTTAGTAAAGTGGATGTTCTCCACTTCTGGATGGCTTTTGTACCACTTTCTGAAAGGCTTCATTATCATTGCTCACAGTTGTTGGTGGGTCTGATTGTGAAGATAAATGTCAAAAATCCAAAGGGTAGTAGTAGGATAATGTGGAGATCAGTATAAGAAAGAACTCCATTAGATGTTATGATGAATTATTTGTGAAGCTGGACTCTGAGGTAGACTTGACAAATTAAATTGGTTGTCCTCATATTAAAATTCACTCTTGCTGAACTCATGAGTACTATTTAAGACATTGTTGAAAGACTTCACTTATTCACAATTAAAGATGGAAATAAGATGAGGCAATGGACAGCCAAAATACACTAGGAATGAATCTTCTAGTTTTGTTAAGGTAAAAGTTTAGTGAAAGCAGAGTCAAGAAAAAAAAAGTAAAGATTGCTTTGAAGTGATCTGTACTATGCTTCCACTTGGGTCAGTAACAGTAATGTTGAGGAAAAATGACTGCCATGTGATGTCTGTGATACGCTGATGTCTTGTCCTTACTCTAACACATTTTTTATTCAATAGAGAAACAGTAGTGTGTATAGTATTACGTAGATATGTAAGCTACATTTATAGACTGTTTGTGAATGCATGAGGAACTAAATAACTTTATTTCTTATTACAGAATCACTTAGTGTCTTTCCAAAATGATTTTGCAAATAAAATGATTTGATTAGTCCTAAAAATAGCTTGAAGGATTGAGAATCTCTTAGGGAAATTTAGGAATTACTCTAGTAAATGGGACCCAATAATTTATCTTAAATAATGGTCAGCATTGCCTCTTTCATAATCTGAAGAAAAGGGCATTTTGGAATAACCTGACTTGTAAGAAGGCTTTTTCTTTATCCCAGAAAATTTTTGGTTGCTTTAAATAAAGAGAGTTTACTTTATTTAATTTGATTTTTTCTAATGTAACTGTATGTCTCAAAATCATGCTGTTCAGAGACTATTGTAGTGATGAGTATTGGTACAAACACACATTCATTCATAAAGCACTGATCATGAAACACCTCTAATGTAACAAAGGCTTTTCATTTTTTTAGTGGCTACATTTAATTTGGGGTGATCATTTGAAGCAGAAAGATTTTGTATTAAATTATACTTGTATTAAATGTCGTCTTTACGGTAGGAGATAAAGTGGGGGGTGTACAATTTGTAAACATGTTCTTGTCACAAGTAGAGGTTTCTTATGAAATAACTTTGCCAAATGTCAAAATATAGTAAGAAAATACACACTAAATAAAACACGGCCTAAAAACAAATCAGAGACATTACAAATATTTATATGTAAGTCTTTTCTTTCCCCTTATTCCTATAGGAAGACCGAGTAGTGAACCATTTGGCAGCAAAGATCATTGAAAATGTTTGCACTACTCTCTCTTGCTATGCACAAGGATTTATTACAGGAGAAATTGGACCTGTCTTATGGTACCTTTTCACACATTCTACAGTAGATTCTTTGAAGATAACTGCTATTTCGGTAAGAAATGTCCTTTCATTATATAGAAATGTTTGGTGTTTTACTTTGAAAAATTTTTGTATTGAAACGGGTGTTTTTGTTGTTGTTGTTGTTTTGTTTTGAGCATGTTTTGTGTGTGTGCATTTCATATTATGTTGAAATGTACTTACAAACAACTGGAAAGTACACATATTGCAGTCCAGTTTGATTATGTTTTTCTTCCTCTTACTTGATATAAGAATAGGCCAATGTAAACTGCCTAAAAGGGCTTTATCAGATTTATCAGTTAGTCACCTTGCAGCATTTTGATTCAAATTTGTATTCCTCTTTGTGGTAATATATTATGAAGATCTTGCCCTTGTTCATGTTTTTCTACATTCCCTGAGATACCCTGTAATTGAGACCTAATACATCCACCCATGTTGAAAACAAATGTATTGAAAGTTCTTGTAATTAATCATTTTCTTGAGCATATGTTTTCTTTTGCTGGTAATCATGACTTGTGTTTGAAAAGTTTAATTTTTCAAGGAATCAGTAAAATCCTTGCATTGAAATTTGTTTTTAATGATATATTTTAACTGAAGACATTTGAAATCATCTTGTTACTTTCTGAACAGTTGTTGAAGCTAGTCTTTGCCCTGAAGAATTTATAAGTTAATATAGGATGATTGTAAGACAAAGAGCTATGACATGATTAGAAGGTTGGAATAAAAAGATTTGTGAGGTAGACAGTATTTAGAAGGGCTGTGAGTTTAGCCATATGTCCTGTTTATTGAACAAAAGCCTTGGCCACCAGTACAGGCAATCTTTCAGGGCTGAACAGTAAATTGACTTATTTTAAATGAAATGTGATAACTGGATGCTGATTTCCTGAGTTGCGCTCAGGCTCACTAATGAATTTATTTGGGCTTCCCTGATGGAAAATGGTAAAGTTGCTGCTTCACTAGCATGCACTTTGATACATGTAGCACTAAGGTAATAAATGAGAGAGTATTAAAAGCATCTTTTAACTGTGGCTGGTGAAATAAATGGTAGAAAAATAAAAAAAAATAGTGTATGTATTAAAAATATAAAAATATAAAAATATATGTGTATGTATTAGATACTGAACCTCAACATGTGTTTTTGGCAAATACTTACATGGAAAATAAACTGCTCAAATATTGGGAAAATATGTTGTCCTTTTAGAACGGTACATTTAATTTAGTAAAATACATGTTACAGAGGCCTTTGTTCTGGGACATCTGAATTTTTGTAAAAGCTTGGTCTTAAGACTATTATGGGTAGAGGATTACCAGTCTTTAAAAATGTGAAATACGTGTGTAACATCTATACAGAACATTTGTATCTTAAACCTGCTTTTGAGTCTGTCTTTTAAGCTGATTTTACAGAAAGGTTCTTTTTTGAGACCTTAACCATTTGACGTGTGAATTTTATGCATGCGTTATGACTGTATATATGAGGAAAGACTGGAGATTAGAGTTATGATTTCCTTTACTTATTAAGTATTTAAATAAGTCTTCTCAATCTGTTCTTGTAGCACTACTTTGCCATAAGGGATGCTTTCTGTCCTGTGCTTTCAGTTCTTGTCAGACATTAGACTGGGCAGTTGTTATTTTCTTGCTACTAAATCATAGCTCTTTTTCTCTCATTCAGCTTCTCCTTGAATTTTACCTCCTGATTCTCTGCTATCCACATGAAAAATTTTGCTACAGAAATTACCAGTCCCTTGGTTTCTACACTAGACTCCTCTGTTAGGGGCTAGTTGAACAGTTCCACCTATTTTGTGTGCTACAGGGAGCAGTGTATTTCAGAGAACTACATTCAGCCACTGATGAAGCAAAATCATTAAAGGAAATGTCAGTGGGCTTTCTTTACCCCCCCCATTGAAAAGTCAGTTTCTTCTTGGATTATATACTGCACTTGAGGAAGGCAAGAGCTTTTGTCTGCTCAGAAAGATGCAGGAGTTACTTCGGTTTCTCAGAAGACTCTTCTTATCAGTGAAGACCCATTAGAGTGTTTTGTAGCTGTCAGCTCAGAAATCAGTGTCATTACTGCCATGTTATTTGCCCTCAGGTGAAGTTTGTGGTCACTGTGAGAAGGGAGGGTTGTTGTTTGTCCCTGTCTATCCTCAGCCTCTTTGAGATCCCATACAGCCCATCCTCTCCTAAGACTGTAAGGTTGAAGTGAACCATGGATAGATGTTTTCTTTGCCAGAGTATTTATGCCATGGGTAGCTAGCCTGTCTTGAGCACTAATGGAGTTGCTGTTTATTGTGTAATGTCTGATGTCAAGAGCCTCACACATTTTATATGGAAAGTGGGAAAAATGTTTAAGAGGAAGCTAAAACCTGAACTGTGTATTGTAGCCTAGATGATTTCCCCCCTCCCCGCTTTCTTTTTTTGAGTATCCATCAATAGCTACTACTATTTACTAGCCAGAGAGGCTATTTTAACTGCTCAGTTCAGTCCATCAGTGCTGGCATTTCTGTGGTCTTTTCCAAGTGAGGAGGTTGAAAGTATCAGAGGTTTTGGGTTGCTCTGCTCAGTTCCTTTACCTCAACACTGCAGCTGTGATAGAGTAAAATGATCTGGATGGGCTCCTTACTCAAGCAGGTATGTTAAATGCAGTGACATGTATCGTATGTTACCGTATTTAAATTGTTCTTCAGAATTGAGTCATCTGGCATTCCTGGGTTGGCTCTCTTTAGCCTTGCAACGATTGTCTCATTTTTGCCAAGCTCTTGCCCCTTGATTTTTTTTTTTTTTTTTAAACTTTAGTTTTTTACTTTTCATCCAAATTCAAAGACAGTTGTCAAAGTTTACTTGTCCTCAGGAACTACTCTGCAAGCCCTCTTATATGTGACATATGTTAGTACCAAGCTGTGGTTTTTAAGAGGTCATGATAGCTGCAGTTACCAGGATTCTCTAAATTAACTCAGATGATATGATAGATGTCCTTTCTATTAATTTTTGTCTGTCAAGCCCGTTTTTTTTTTAGCAGTGCATGCTTTAGGGTCCAGAGCAGCAGTTTAAAGTGATTACCAAGTGGTGTCTGCACACTGAATTCTGCTGATGCAAAAATTTCCTCAACATCTTGTGCTTGAATACGTGCAAATCGGCAGTATAAATGCACATAAGGAGTATATAAGGAAAAACAAACAAACAAAACCCACCACCTGTTTCCAACACATTTTTTTCCTCTGAAGGCAGCAGGCTCACTGCAGAATCAACCCTTTCCCTTGGGTAGTTACTGAGGCTGCAGTCTTGCTAGAGGTAGGGGCTAGCTCCAGGTAGACATATTGGGGAGATTTGAACTGAAAGCATCAGGAGAGGGACTAAAAGAGAATGAGACATTCAGTCTTCTACATCGGTGGTCCAACTGCTCAATTTCTTGTTTTTCTTGTCTTGATGGAAATTATGGCTGTTTATGTAGCAGATTCTGACTTCTTCCACACAGATCATTTCACCCAAGTGCGCTTTTTGTCTGAAGTTGTTCCTGGGTTTTCCCATTGCTCTTCTGGGGATTGTGCCCTTTATTGAAAGTCTGAGGTATAACGATTTTGTATTGCATATGAAATGAGTTGGACCAGTAGGTTCCTAAAGTAAATCATATTAAGATGGTCCTCTAATCCTTTTGCTTCTTTGTAGCAAAACACCAAAGGAACAAGAGGGTGAACTTGGATTTATTGGATTTATTAATAAAGACCTGATATAAATCATGGTTATGTATTAATACTGCTGGGGTGTTTGGGCATTTAATTATTAACTTTAGTAAATACTCAGATTACCACTTGATATTGAAATCTATCACAGGTAGATCTTTTTACAGCTGAAGTTTATGGAGATTTAAGTAACAAACTATTTTTTTTACATAGCATACGAATGTATTCTCAGGTTATAGTGTACTATACAGTTTCTATGTTCTTTAAATATCATTGTAACATGCTGTTGCCATAGTTATGTAGACATTTTTTTATTCTGCATGACCATGTAAATTAAAATCAACAGTATTATATTATGTTTTATTATGCAATCATTCCTGCCTTGTTTAAATGTATCCTGAAGAATATTCTTGACTGACATGAATATCCACATATAAAAATACATCTCTGTTAAAAATACATGTGCTGTATCTTTACCTAGAGCTAGCAGGCTGTCTGCAAAGTGTATCAGCAGTGGGGCACTAAGGAGTTTTACTTATGATTGTTTCAAACAGTAAAAAAGATATATCTAGAAAATTTTAAGTCTTTAGTCTCTGGAGTCAAGAAATGACACTTTTCGTTGTCCTACCTGTCAGAGGTGGCAAATGGGGATTATGTCTCAGTATTTTTGCTCACTTTGGAGTCCAGCCTGCCTCAGGTAAATATCACAGATTTTGCCTGTAGGAAAATTATATCTTTTATTGTTTGCTAGACAATAATTCGAGAAGATGCCAAAGTGACATTTTGACAAGCTTAGCAGCAAGAAGAATATTTTCTTTCTAGTATATTGGAAGTTATATCCTCATTTTTTTTTTTTAAATAATTTATTTAATTTTAAAGAAATAGCTTCTTCTGCTGGGGAAGAAGTAAATACTTGAAATATAAGCCACTTAAATGGAAAAAAAAAATTGGGAGAGCTCAACGCTGTTGTTTTGTTTCTTGTTTTTCCTTAAATAATTGATGCTGAATAGTTTCTTTCAGAGACTTGGGTAGTCTCTGAAAGTTACCAATGTGGTAAACATGCAAGACCAGGAGGCAATGGATGAGGCACAGATGGTGTTAGGGTTAGAGCTGCTAGGAGAAAAGCTGTAGCCTTAAGGCTATGCAGAGAGCAAGGACAGAAGTTCATTCTAGGAGAGGCTCTGCCAATGCCTTTCTCTCACTGTGATCATTTCTTGTTCAAAGACTGCTGCTGAGAGAGGAGGATGGCGTGAAGTCTTCTCTTACCTATTCTAATCGTTTCCTGATCCTTGCTCTACTGCCTTTTCGCCTTTCTTCATTTGTTTTCTCCAGATGCAGATCTACTTAAGTGATTTTTAGGAGAATGTCTTCTATGCCCCACTGAGCTCTCTTCTGCTTTTTGGATGAAGTGTTGATTTCACTCATTCAACATAGCTCTCAGTGACATACTAGCCAATGGGAGTTTAAAGCTTCACCCCCGTTGGTCAGCCTGGAGCTTTTCTGCTTTCTCTAAAACAGTCCTAGGAGACAGTCATATCTCTCCTGTGAGGTTTGCTTGCAGGTGATCTTGATGGCCTTGTGGCCATGGTCACCCTATTTTGAGTAGGTCCATAGCAAGGAGCCAAGGCATTGGCAACTCCACATTTGCCATGTTAGCTCACCAACATCGCCCCTGATGCTTTGGCACAGTCTCTCCCCAGGTCCCAACAATTCACTGGTAATACGACCCTCGAGGATACATTTTGTAAATGTTCATACGTTGTGCATGCTCATTTTGAGAACTCAGACTAGAGATGAAGAGCTGGATTGTATCCCTGGGGAAATAGACCATGCTGTAGTAAGAAACTGAAATTGACTGCCTATGGTTTAAGAAAGAAGTAAAAAAAAAAAAAAAAAGGGGGTGGGGTGGGGTGGGGGGAGGGCGGAGAGAGAGGAAAAGCTGCAATCGGTAGTGTTCCAGGACCAAAAAGGACAATGAAGAATAGGAAAGATGAGTGGCTTCAATAAAATGTCTGTTTAAAAACATACGTTCTTGGCTTAGTATCTTTTTTATTCCTTTTTTCCCCTCCTCTTGAATGAGAGTTCACTGCTGAATGCATGCTGAGTAAGCAGTTTCTAAATATAGCTGGTCAGGAGAGAACAAAGATTGGTAATTTTGAGTACTTTTCACAGAATAAAGTTGCCTTCAGAGTTTCCTAAAACCAATTCAGATTTTAATGTGAATCAAATAATTAATCCTTTTTCCTATCCTAAGGCTACTCTCAAACCAAAGAAAATGAAACGCTATTTTAAATTTCTGAAGAGTCATATTTTCTTTATCTGGAGACTGCAAAAGCAGTTACAGTGTCTTGAAGGTTGAATTTCTGAAGGAAAAGCTGTGTTGATTTGGAGATTAATCCACCTAGGAGGTCATTTGATAATGTTTGTTATGAAACAGCTAAGTTAGTGTACACTGGACAGTTTGTGCTTACTTCTCTAGAGCACAGTCAGTATCTGCATTTTCTGTTAGAACTGTTTTCCTCACTGACATTTGTAAATCTGCCATTTGGAGAAGAGTTTGTATATTAGCAATACTAAACAGCGCCTCTTAACAAATATCTAGAGCTAAAGTAGTTAAACTGAGGCAAACTGAAACCTGTTTTTGGATGAACTTCAGATAATAAGCTCTTACAGATCAGGTTATGTCCACCACAGGAGTGGAGAGTATTCACCAGAAAAGAGAGAAAAGAAAGATGCGCACCCTGATGGGGTGTTTCTGTGGTGTGAGCCATCTTAGTATTTTCTACTATATGTGCTTCTTTCTGGCACAGGCTTATCTGATACTGTCTACATTCTCTACTGATTGAAGTCCCAGACGTGGACTATGACAACACATCATCCTCTGGAGAGAGAGAGTAATATGACTCTGCTTGATGTTGTTGAAAAGATTTCAGTTTCAGCTGCATGGGGTGTGTAGCAATACATTTAGAAGAATTCCAGGTCTTAAAAAAAAAAAAAAAAAAGAAAAAAAAAGAGAGCGAGAGAAAGAGGAAAAAAATAGCCTTTTCCCCGAATGTTTATCTTATGATTGAAATTATGTGAATTCTCCATATTCCTAACCTATTGGAAAAGTTGTTACTATTTTATTCTCTGTTATTTCTTTTGAGATAAAAATTTCATTAAATAGCAGTATTTGTTTGACTTTTGCAGGCTTTATGCAGAATTACTCGGTGTTCACCCAGTGCTTTCCAGAGCGTCATTGAAAAAGTGGGATTAACAGCTGTCCTGAATTCCTTGGCAACTGGAATATGCAAAATTCAGCAGTACATGCTCACCATGTTTTCTGCAATGTTGTCATGCGGGATTCATCTGCAGAGGCTGATTCAAGAAAAGGTTTGGTTTCAGATTAACAATATTCAATGGCATGGAATTTCACTAATGGAAAGTTAAAGATGCCTGTGATAATGCTTTTGTATTTTCAAAATGTTTAACTCAGTATCACTTAGGTATCTGAATAGCTGGAAATTAGGAACAGATCTCTAAATTTACTCAAAAGTAGGAAATGCAGATTTAACATCTTACTTGAAAAAAACATTTTAAAGGCTTAATAATGTCCTCCAGAAAATGCTACTTAGAGAAAAATACCACCTTTTAATGTAATATAGATTATATTTATGTTGATGTTATATTTTTGTTTGTTGAAAATATAAATAATGAGGTGCATGGTTTTTCTTGTTTCTGATTCTCAAGAGCTGGTACTAATGGATATATAAATTGCTACTGCAGTTGGAATTCAGTCGATTTAGAAAACTCTAGCATGACCATAACTGATAATGGCACTAAGGAAAAGCAATAAAAAAAACAATGATGACAGCTACTTGGATGGAACACTCTTAGACATTTAAAAGAGAAATGAGTGTCTTGAGTGAATCTAAAGTTGTACTTTATGCTATCCTTAAAGGACTTTGGCTAGTTTGTACGTGAAATGTCTTGCATTTGGAAATTAGCATTTAAATAGCTGTTGGTTTTCATTTTAATACCACTGAATAAAGTTACTAGTTCTGATGTATGTATAATATAATTTTTGGAAGAGATGATTAAAAGCTTTCCATTTCATTTACCAAAATATTCCATGTTTATAGAAATAGTGTTTAATTTTTGACAGTACTTCTGCACAAGTCGCAAACAAAAGAAATCCATCTCCACTTGGAGAGAATAAAAATTACAAAGAAAATAGGAACTGTAGCTCATGTTTTTATCAGACATTCTGATGAAGTGTGCTGTAACCTGACATTCATCTTGACTATAAAAATACATTAGGCTTTACTTGAGAGATATTCATTTGGTTTCTATAAATATTGTTTTAGCAATAATGTTTAAATGAAAAAAAATAATCTACTGTCTTCCACCAATCTCTTCTTGCAGCCTGAAGTCAGTCATTCTCTTCCTAAAAGTCATTTCTTTCCTTGTCAGAATTGTCAGTGTGCTTTTTGTAAATGCCTGTCAGCTGGCCTTAAGCTTTCCAGAGACACCACTACAACAGTATCAACAAGTGGCAAATTGTCCCGTAATGTCACAGTTTCTAACAGTGCGTCTTGGTGCAAGTTGGTGACATATTCAGGGAAGTCTGTTCAAAGAACATTCACTTAAACATTTGGAGAAAGACAGCGATGTGTAGCAAGCATATGGCTACAGCATGATGCTTTATGTGAAGAATTTGTTGTTTATGTAAGACTTGCATTGCCAAAAGGACTGCCTTTCTGATACGGGGGCTCTTAACTACTTGAATCAAATTTTTGACATATGTAAAAATAATCAACTCTGAAGTTCTCCAACCAGTTACAGAAAAAATACAAAGTAATAGTTGAAACTCTGTGACTTTAAAATTGCTGCCTAATCACTAAAAAATTGTCATAAATGTTTTGTGACCAAGTATTGCAATTTTTTAGATTAGAAAATTGAAATATAGATGATATAGGTGTTCTTCTAACAGCATATGTCAAACTAATGACAGAAATTGGATTAGTTCCCAAAGCTGTAACTGAAAAAATATTGCACGTTAAAAACTATTACAAAATGCTGACAAACAGGGTCTAGCTATTTTGCTTCCTCAAATTAGATTGTAGGATTTTGGAAGCAGAAACTGTATTTCTATTGCTCTTGAACAGGATCTAAAAATATAAACCTTCTCCTGAATTGAGCCGCCAGGCACTATCACATTACTAGCAATGTTTTATTGCTAAAAGCTGAATGTAATAATCCATGCACTTTTCAAGATTCTCTGAGCATGACACACAAGTCCGTCCTAATGAAAGAAGGGAAGAAGAAAAAGCAAATGCCTAGTGCCAGTCTCCCAAGTATTTAATCTTTTGTAGAATTATTGTGTACTATAGCTTAAGAGGTAGAAGGACCTCAGAGCCATACAGAAAGTAAAGACAGATTTATTACTGTCTTTTTAATAAAATCACAAACCAATATATTAAAATGTGCTTAAAGATACAAATTCAACATAGAAGTCATTTAGCTTTGTGTATATTATCTGGAAACTCCCTTAGCTTACAAGACTTAAGCCTACCTTTTTCTTCTACTCTCTTCAGGAACAAAAATAAAACTAGTTATAATTAAATATTTTAGGTTTATAGTAATAAAACTAAAATAGAAGCCAAAAGAATTAAAAGGAGAAATGCCATTCTTCGGTCACCCGTACTAATATAAATCTTCATAGAATTACTGTAGCTAAAAAGTGGGAATCATCCCTCTCTGATACAGAGCCTTTATATTTTAGTTTCTTGTCCTGAAACCTTGAAAACAAAAAATCTGAAATGATGTTTTTAAAATAAAGTGTGGAAAAAGAACTCAGAATCAAATATCTTTGACAAATGATAGCAGCAGATTAAAAAAAAAAAAAGTCTTTCATAGCTTTCATCTGGCTCTCAAGAGTCACCTTTGAACGACTAAAAAACAACTGAGATTTTGTTCAGTGTGCAGAGAAACCATTGGTCCTGGGTGTGGATACTGATGGTACCAGTTACTCCGTGTGCAAATCATACCCTCATGACTCAGCAGCATGATCAGGGTGTCTCTTACTCCAGATTCTCCTGTACCACACTTCAGGACATGAATGGTGAAAGCTAACAGACATGGGCTTTGCAAAAGGATTTTGTAACTTTGAATTATTTTTTATTGTTGTCTTCTGTGTTTGTTTTTTTTTTGTTTGTTTTAATTTATTGTTATTATATCACCAGGAAGAATCTCAGAACTCTGTATTTTTTACTATACCAAAACCATGGCCATAATAAATATAGCAATACATTGTCACAGTTGCATTGTTTCTTTGCACAGTTAGCCATAGTCTTTTTTTTATATTGGTCATATCCAATTATGGCACTGAAAAATACACATTTATAACATTGCTCTCATATTTCAGGTACCTTTCTCTCAATTCCTTGTCTTTCCCTTAAGTGTAGACAAGTAGCTACTTCTGATGTTGACACTATTGCCAACATCAGTATGAATTAATGAGATATAAGTGTCTTTACCAAAATCTTTCTAACTCTTGACTTACAATATTATGGAGGTATTTGCAATTCATAGGAAGCAAATCTGAAAATACAGAAGAATACAACAAATAATTGCCAGAGCAATTTCAGAGTTTCTTCTGCAGTGAAATAGTGGTCTGTATTCCCCTTGTGCAACCAATTAAAAACTTAATTGCTTTTCATGATTTAGTTTGAATTGGCTTTGCAGCATTACCAAGAATGTAGGTTATAAAATTATGATCTTGTTGCAATAGAGTGTGCTCGGTTGTCATGAAAAGTGTCCTTACCCTTCAGAATCTCCATGGATACATCAAACAGTTGCAAGGAAGGAAGAACAATAAAACAGTGAAACAATTAATAATTAATGTACTAGTATTTCAGCAATTTTGGGCTTTTCTGATGTATTGAGTTCTGTAGGTCAGCAAAGATGTGCTGCAGATATTCTTTGGATAATCTATTGCTGTTTTGCAGTGCTCAGACCAGCTAAAATAAAAAATAAATAAAGAAAGAAAGTTGCATATATGTCTTAAGCCAGATCATTAGAGCATTCTCAGATGAGCTTGATGTAACTGATTTTAATTGACAATGCTGTTTTAACCCATGGTAACTCCAACAAGTAAGAGCAAAATGTTCTTGCTTTCCAGAGGTGTTTAATCTTTCTATATATATGAGAACATTTGATCTTATTTGTGCTGAAATACATATATTCTGAAAAACTATCAGCTGTCCTTTAAAATAAATATGTTAAAATATACTTAAGGCAAGATATTTTTTAATGATTGTTAGTCCATTTTGGACATACTACTGTAGATAGTGTTTGTATGCTGTAGCTTTTGAGAAGTTGTACAGAGCAGCTTTTCACTGGGCCAGTCTCTCTTGGACAAAATTTATTTAGTTGTGTTTTATGGATTTTGTTTGCTTTAAGTATGGCATGAAAAGTATTGATACCCATACTAACAAGAAATGCAAATAAAATTAGGAAAATTTAAATGGATACGGTGATAAAATACAATGTAATTAACCCTTTTCCATAGGATAATATTAACGCTTTTGTGTTTATTCCCACCAAGGAATTTGTGACTACAATTACACGTTTACTTGAAAGTCCTTCAACTTTCATACGAGCAAAAGCCTTTCTGGTCCTGTTACAAGTTTTAATTAATAACAGGGAGATGTTGCTACTCAGTTGTCAAGCAAGGTAAGGTGTTACTGGAACTTAAAATTAGAGATGCAATGCTTATTTTCAAAGTTGTACCTGAAATACTTTAAATGTTTAGTATTTTTGAGTGAGTGTATTAGGAATCAACTATTTTCTGTGCAATATGAATCCTTTTGTTTACAAGAATATCACAAAAAAAAGTTCTCTCTTTTGTCATCAGGTGATGATCGCTCACAAGGGGAAGCTACTTTGGCTTATAGGGGGAGCCTTTTAAAGGAACTTGTGGTCCTTGATAGCAATAGCAAGAAGCAGATTTTGCTTTGAGGGTCATTGGGTAAATTAAGATATGAAAATAAAGGAATGACAGAAGTTCAGATGAGAGAGAGCACAAGGAGAAAAAGCATGAAGAAAGGATGTAAATATAGCACTGGTTAGCATGTTCAAATGTGGAGTGACAGAGACTATAAGAAATGTTAGGAAAGCAACATGCATGTGGCTTGATGTAAGTGAAAGGAAAAGAAAAACTGAGACCTGTATTGCAAATGTAGAGATAGAGACTGAAGGTAATCTCTAATACAGAAACAATTTCCTTGCTTTATCTTAAAAATAGTTACACTAAGTTTGAAGACAAAACAAGGTAGATAAGGAAAAAAAGTTTAAATCCTTATTTCTAGGTAGCTTAGGTACAAATTCAGTACCCGTGTTTTTAACCTATACATCAATTTTGGGGTGTCATTATATGACTGGAAAAGAATAACAAAGTACTTTAAAAATAAAAAATGTCATGGGGAACAAAGTGTTCTAAACACATAGCTGACTTCAGTAGTATGGAAGACTCTGGAACAAATACTGAAGGAAAAACTGGAGGGTGTGGGAGATAATCTTTTAGTAGAAATAATGGAAATAAACTGCTCTGTGCACGTGAGTTATGTAATAGCTGCATGCCTAACCTTCAGATGGTTATACTTGATGATCAAGATTGCCTTTTTATTTCTATTTTCTTGTATGTTTCATGATGTATAATAAAAAAGCATCTTTGACAGACCATCATGAAAAAAGTAAAATATCTTTGGAGGGAGAATATTATAATAATAATTTAAGGCGTAGATAATGACAGAACAGTATTTTCTGTCTAATAGTAGTTCCCAGTCTACAGCTTGGTGACAATTTCGTCTGATCTCTTCTTTAGCTTCCTAGACAGCAGCCATTTGACTTCCCACAAAATATTTCACAAATCAATCTTTGTGGGTGAAAATGAAGAGATTTCCCATTTTATTTTTAAAAATTCTCTATGTTAAGTTCCTCCTCCTCCTTTCTCCCAGATTTTATTGCTGAGAATGATGCCATATGGTATAGGGTATCCCTTTGGTCAGTTGGGGTCAGCTGTCCTGGCTGTGTCCTTCTCACAGCTTCTTGTGCTTCCCCAGCTTCCTTGCTAGGGGTGCAGTGTGAGAAACAGAGAAGGCCTCGATGCTGTGTAAGCACTGCTCAGCAATAGTGAAAACCCGAGTGTGTTATCAATGCATAAATCCTAAACATAGCACCACTATGATGAAGGAAATTAACTCCATCCCAGACAAAATCAGTACATTGTTGTGATGACAACCCAAGATGTCACAATGTTGCTGTTTTACTTTAAAAGCATGGTTATTTTAAAATAAGAACATTTTAGAAGTGGTGATATAATTGCTCTACTCATTTTTGTTATAACTTATTAATGAACAAAAAGGAGGATCTTAACATTCCTTGTTTAAATAAGAAGTCTTATAAGTAAAAATGCAATATAAAGTAAAACCCTGGATTTTTCTACTAAAAATATAGTAAAGGCATTAACAATTGCTAACAGATGCAGAGGGATTTTTTTCATGTTCAAGCTCAGTCCAAAATAGACATGTGGAGTCTGTTCTTATGGGATGAACATGCAATTTATTGTAAGACAGAGATGAATATAGAAGCTGAAATTCACTTAGACATGGTTAGCTACAACAGGCCTTCGCAACTCTAGGTTGAAAGTAGCAACATAGATTCATTCATCTGAATTATAGGCCAACTTAGTCTAGCTATGTGCATTGTAAAACAGTGTAGCTTTTAACCAGAATTTTTCTCTGCCAACTGTCCCAACCTCCCAAAGATTTTTAGTTTTCACATCTTCTATATGCTCTCAGAGGAAAAGCTTTACCCGGAGACTTATTGCAATCTCAGGTCTCGCGTAGCCTATTGACCTTTCAATTCTAAGTTTGGCCCAGAAAACAGTCATTTTGGCTGAGAAAAAGAATAGAAAAGGAAGGCAGAAGGGAACAATTACCCAACAAAAATCCAGCAAGCTTTTATCAAACTAAAAAAAAAAAAAAAAAAAAGGGTGAAGGGAAGATAGGGATTGAGTCTTCTAACTAGCATGATCCACCCAATGTTGCAACTCCATAAAATAAATGATATATGTGTTTTAAACATCCTTTAAAAATTCTAATCCTTTCATAGTAGCAGAGGTTGACTAAAAATGAATTGGCGGGGTAAATGGACTGTATATGTCCTTAGAGAATGCAAGACTTATCATTTCCTGGCAGGCTCTCAGTATCTGAACGTAGTGTTCTGAAGAACCTCTTGTAGGGAAAAGACTGCTAGTGAGAGACCTCCTGCTTCAAGTTCAGTCATCTGGCAGCAGCTCATCCTAGCAGCACATATACAGTCCCCCTGTAGTCCCCCCCCACCCCCACCCTATTCAGATGCTGGTAGAATTGTAGCTGAACTTTATAGATGCCTAAAGCTGATTTTTATGGATGTGAGGATAAATGTCACTCAGGTAAGAGAATAAATGAATTTTAGAAAATAGTCTATAAAGAGACCTTCAGAGTTGCAAAGTGAATCCCCTTGATCCAGATCAAAGTCTTTGTTTAATCTATTCTTAAAAAATATTTTTCTAACCATTGGTGAAAAATGGTAGATATCCTATAACTTCTTTTTGCCAGCTGATCTAATTGTTAGGTATTCCTAACACTTAAAAATTCTTGTTGTTTTCTCATTGAAATTTCAGTTCTACAGGCTAAATACAGAAAACACAAAAAGCAATTTAGTCTCTTTAATTTTCTGTATATATGAAGACATCTTACCATTTCTCTGCTTAGTCTTCTGAATTTTAACTATATACCTTTTATTCCTGCTGGTCATTTTTATAAGTGAACAGTTCTTAAGTAGTACATCTTAACCGTTATTATAGATAAGTTAACTCTTTGCAATTCTTCCCTTTTTGATCCATTCTTCTTCAAAACAACATTTTTTTGTGTGTGTGTACAAGTTCACTGATGTTCATATCATGCCATACACATGTTTAAAGGTTTTTTAAAAGAATCAAATTTGTCTTCCTAGACAGTGGTTTTATTAGTCATCATGTGTAACTTAATTTTAGTAACACCTGCATGTTTTTTCATGTGTTGTGTGTAAAATTTTTACTTCACTGAGTAAATCATCTCTATGATGGAAATATACATCTAATAGCATTAAAAAAAAAAAAAAGAGTATGCTAGTCCTGCAGTTCTGTTCTATACACCTTAGGCAGGTTAAATAAGTTGATTATAGTAAGGGTAGGTAAGAAAAGGGATCATACTGAAATACATTCTTAAGAACCAGAGCATGGATTTCACTCACCAGTGACTGATGGTTCTGTGTGCCAGACCTCCCGGGAGTATGAATATGAAACAAAGATGTCAATATTAGGCCCCTAAAGGAAGGACTGGCCCTTCTATCTATTCAAATGAGCATTTTAAAATCTTGCCTGAAGCATTCTGTTATAGGTGTATTATTAAAGCTACCTCTTGTAAGTTAGCCAATGGCTAATAAATCAGTTACCGTAGTTTACCATGAAAAATGTCATTCTGCAGAACAGCATAATTATACAGCACTTGTCAGTTAGAATGGAAGCACTGAGTTTGTCTTGAGAAATTGTGAACTTCAAATTTTGAGAGAAAAGTGTAAGGCCAGTTAGACTTTTATTTCTTTCTATATGGCCATTCTTAGTAGTGCTAACATTTGGATAGGCTATAGTGTGAATAATGTTGTATGGAGTTCCTTGATCAAAAGATTGATCACCTGTTACATTGACTTAAATTAGTCTGTTTCTTGAAATTCTTGCACGTTGGAACAGACTGTCTTTAGTCTTTGCTCATATTGCATATATTGGTCATAGGTTTCAAAATAAAGTGGATTTTAAATTTAGTCTCTCTCTAATAGATTCACTCCTTATGTCATATCTTCATTTAAACTGGTAAACCAGTAAAGCTGTACTAACAGGAGCTTAAGGGTTGTTGTTCCTTGGCACTGTCATTTGTGTTATATTAAAAATTGATTTATTTGAAAGGGAGCCCAAAATTTCAACAAAAATTACAGAGTCAACACCAATATATTCTCCTGATTTTAACCACGGGTACTAGAAATGCCAGCTTCAGTAATATTTTTTGAGATTACAGTATCATTTTCTTGTTATAAGAGGTAATGTTTTGCATTTGTTTAAATGCAGACTTGTGATGTATATTGAAAGAGACAGCAGAAAGACCACACCAGGAAAAGAGCAGCAAAGCGGCAATGAATACCTGTCAAAATGCCTGGATCTTCTCATCTATCACATTGTGCAGGAGCTGCCAGGAATTCTAGGTAAATTGAGTTGGTTAACTAAACAAATCTCACCTTTGCTTACTCCCTTGAGAAGCACTTAAATATTTCCTTAAATATACAGGTGGAAAGATCGTGTTTTCTGATCACATAAAGTTTGGATGTTATCAGCTTCATGAACTTTCTTAGTCATGTCATGATCAGATATTTTGTATTGGAATCTTGAATGCCGGATTCAATTCAGTCAGGGAAGAGGCCCAATTGTACAAGAAGTTTTATCAATGTTCTAAAGATATTCCAAAGACTGGAAATTCTAAAAACAAACTTACCTTATAAAGCACAGAGGAAGGAGAGATATAACACAGTATATCCATGAGTATGTGTTAATCATTTATGCTTAAATATGTATGCTGAGTACTTGCTTGAAGTAATTTTTCTGGAATATTTCAGCCTAGATACTTGAATATTTATAGATAATCTGAAATTGATCCCTTCATGTGGAAGAAAAGATGGAAAGATTTTCTCTGAGATGGCATCAGTGCTACCTTGCCCCATCCTTCATGCTTTAGGAATAAAAACTTGACATTCCAGCAAAGGAGCTGTTGTGCTAAGGATATGCATTTGGCCAATTTTATGTGTATCTGCTCAAATTTCACTAGTATTTGAGTCTCTGGAACAATAAAAAGCTACTTTGTATTGGTTGTACATGTTCAAATAGAAATTTGCTTGGGTATAGCAGCTGAATTCCTGTCAACAAGTTGTCAACATTGAATATGCTCTAACTTGTCGTAGTTAGAGCATATAGAACAGTGAAAGGCATGTGGGCAAATACGACAAAACCTGCAAATTGCAGGACATGATTTTGATCTTTGGGCAACTAGAGAAGAAGCTGGAGTAGAAAGAAGTTAACCTGAAAATCTGGAGAAGGTGATGAAACAAGATGAGTATTTTGAGTGTTTAGACAGAAGGAATACAGTCTTGAAAAAGTAATGAGTATCTGTTGGCAAGATTTGAACATCAGTTTGATATTGAATAAAATAGATATCACAAAAATGACCCCAGATGAGTAGGAGTGAGACTGTCTTTCCTGGAAAAAGCTGTGCTGTATGATGTATGAGGAAAGATAAATTTTCTATTTAAGAGAATTAATTCAGAAGGAAGGAAAGAGGGAAGGAGGGATAAAAGAAAGAGAAGAGAGAAGGAGGAAAATGAAAAAGAAGAAAAGGAAAAGTGGATATGAGAAGGAAGGAACTGAGTGGAGGAAATAGGAGGAAGTAAAGAAAAAATGGAAAAGGGGTGGGGAAAAGGATGGAGAGAAGGAAAGAGGGGAAAGGAGGAAGACAAAAAGGAATGAAGGAGAAAATATGAGATTGATGTGGCCAGTCTGAATAATTGGCATTAAAATGCTTATTAAAGCTGGTGGGTGAGATCTCCCAGAGAACAGAGTAAGAAAGGTAAATAGCAACACAAGGAAGGAAATGCTGAGAGTCTTCAAGAAAGAAATGGAGTAAACTCAGCCGTGATTGTGTATGACTTGTCATTAAATAAAAATAATAAAAAAATCATAACTTTATTTTTCTATGAGATGATAGCTGATTTATGTTTCTTCTTGTTACATTATTGCTAGAATATTGAAAATGAAGTAGTAACACTGCAAAGGTCAGTAGTTCCAATGGTCATGCTGCTATTTTAAAAGAAACTTTACTTCTTATGAGAATGCAGGTTTTTGCCTTGTTGCAAACAGCTGGTCCTCCCCCCCCTCCCTTTTTCTAACTTTTCTGACTAATCAGGTTCATATTTGGGTATATTGTAGGACTTGGAAATCTCAAACTATAAATGTTTTGAGGCAAAAATTCACCTTCTACTATCAACTATTAGTTGCTATATGCAACTAATGCAGTAGGCCCTGATATTTTCTCAGAGCTTGAAAGTGCAATAAATCAAAATAATCTGTTTCTTTAATATGGGTTCTGCTTTATTTATTTATTTATTTTTATGCTTTGTTTTCCTTTTCAAGCTAGATTTGTGTTTTGATTGTTTTTATTGAGATTAAATTTTCTGTCTGTATCTGTCAGAAGGCTTTTTCTTTTTTATTGCTCTAAGTATGATGGAGGATTATGTTCTGCTTGAGGAGGTAAAAGTTATGAGCTTGTCGGAAAAATGACGAAAGTTGCCAGGTGGAACAGTTAAAAACAGTTTAACTGTTGATTTAGAATTAATCCTAGGTGGTTTTTAATATGCATTTAGTTAAGCTCCTTACTGATCCCATCTTCTTCCACCAGATGTAGCTATAAACCAAATAGATTAACAAGTTGTAGAAATTGCCATTGAAGATACATTTAAATAAATGAAATAAAACGATAATCTTGTGGATAAACTTTAAAGTTTTCAGTTGCTGTAGGTAACAAAGAAATTTAATTCAGGTATGTTTAATATATAACCTCTCTCTAGAAGATAGGTATAATTTGCTTAGATCACACTAAGAATTGAAGCAACTGCATCTATTTATCAACAAATTGACAGAAGTGGTGATTGTGAGACAAATATATAGAAAGAGAGTGGAGGGTTCAACTGATTATTTGTTAATCACAGAGAGGTCTTGTTGAATTATGGTTTTGTTAGTAATTCTAAAGAAAAATGCTTTGATGGAAAGACAATATTTTGTTTTATGTATTTGGAGAGTTTTAGGCAACATTTTCATGAGCAGTATATTATAGAATGATTCAAATCTTTAAGGATAAGTATTTTTACAATGTAATTTAGTGCCTGGCTCTGTCATTCTGCCTTTGTTGAAAACTGTACTCCATGGGAGCAGTGGAAAAGCATTGCTATTTTTCAACATGAGTAAACTCTGTGACTTTATTTTAAAGGAAGGGCCTGTTCTGATATGAAAATTGTATAAAATACTGAATCATGTCCTTTATTTGTTTAATAGCTATGTGGTTTCCTTTTTACAGTTTTGTGTAGCTCTCTCATTAGGGAAAACATATAGTAAGTGTTTTTTAAAGACAGGATTTGGCTTATAATATTTCAGGCTAAAAGGACTGGATTTTCTTTCTTTGCATGTGACTTTTCTCTTGCTTCTTCTATTCTTTATTCCATGCAGAAGTGGTCATGGATTTCTGAGACAATAACGTAAGACAAATTCAGCATAATGGTCCTTGGCTTTTATATTTCTCTTCTGAAGTTTGAATTACAGTTCTCACTACTGAAATGAGATTTTTGTTCCCTCATTGTTGTGTCTGAGGTTTGTTATGGACTAAGTTCTCTCACTGACCTGCTGCTACCTCTTTCTGTGAGATCATGAGAGTGTTCTTTAGATAATAATGTCGTTGTTAAATCTGTGTTTATGCGTGCTCAGCGGGTGGAAGGCTTTTGAGGAAGTGGGGAACATTGCTTATTTCTTTCTTCTGGTGCTACTGTTGCTGCAGGAAAAATACACTCCTTGAGTATTACGTTACCAAAATATGGTGAAGCTCTTGGTGAGCTCTAGTGATAGGACAAGGAGTAATAGCTTTAAACTAAAAGAGGGAAGATTTATTCTTTACTCTGCGGTGGTGAGGCACTGGCACAGGCTACCCAGAGAAGTTGTGGATGCCCCATCCGTGGAGGTGTTCAAGGCCAGGCTGGATGGGGCTTTGGGTAAACTGCTCTGGTGGGAGGTGTCCTTGTCCATGGCACGGGGGTTGGAACTGGGTGATCTTTAAGGTCCCTTCCAACCCAAAGCATTCTGTGATTCTTTGATTCTATATCTCTGTAGCTGGAGCAGGAAATTGACCTGTCTGAAAACTAAATAGGAGATAAAGTGTTGGATCAGCCTTTTTTTTTTTTAATCATCATGCACTCACATGACCACTACTTTCATCAGGAGGGAGAAGATGGGATTGCAGTGAGGATACTGGAACAGAGATGCTTTATAAGTCATTTTGTGCTGTTTAGCAAACTAGTTATGTTAGATCATCTGAAATGTTGTTTTCTGTAGGTGACATTCTCAATGCCTTAACAAATGTCTCTGGACGCAAACACCCATCAACGCTTCAGGCCAAACAGCTGAAGATGTGCCTTCCCATGATGCCTGTAGTACTTCATCTAGTGACATCCCAGGTACATTTTTTTCAAAAATTTTTAAACAAAGTACAAACTCTTGCAGTCTCACAATATCTAACTTCTGCTGCTTAAAAGATTAAATAGATCTTTTTATTAATGTATAATTAGGTTGATGGGTATTTGAGCTAAGTAGCAGCGTTAAAGATGTAAACCTTATTTTTGCATATTGTAGGACAACTCAAATGATAAATATATATTTTGCTTTCTTTTTCAACATGGCTGTGAAAAAATGTTTTTACTTTTTCTGGTCATAATGTATGCAGTTACTGTAACTTTTAAAACTTTTGCTAAATTCAAATAGGTATTTCGTCCCAGGATAGTCACAGAGGAGTTTCTTTTCAACTATGGGACCTTACTTGTGAGTATAACCATCATAAGTTAAATTTTGTTTGTAAAAAATACATATGCATAAAACTTTGGTAATTTTGGTAATGCAATGAAATTACATTACATTAATAAATTAGAGAGAGGTCTTTATTCTGAATATATTTTTTTTTTAGTTTTTTTCTTTTTTTAATTTTTTTTTTAGTTTTGATTTTGGACTATCATCAATGACATAAAATTCAACAAAGGTAAATGCCTGGTTCTGCACCTGGGATGGAGTAATGCAGTACACAAGTACAGGCTGGAGAGCAGCTCTCCAGAAAGGTATCTGGAGGTGCTGGTCAACAGCAGGCTCAGCATAAGCCTGCAGCGTGCCCTGGCAGCCAAGATGGCAAAATGTATTTTTGTGTGCATTAAATACAGCATAGCCACCTGGTCGAAAGAGGTGATTCTCCCACTATATGTAGTGTTAATGCAACCTCACCTTGAATATCGCATTCAGAGGAGGGCAACAAAGTTGATAAAAGGATTGGAAGGCATGTCCTGTGAGGAGAGGCTGAGGACACTTGGGTTGTCTAGTCTGGAGAAGAGGAGACCAAGAGGTGACCTCACGGCTCTCTACAACTCCCTGAGGATGGGAAGTGCAGAGGGAGGTGCCGGTCTCTGTTCCCTGGTCACTGATGACATGAGGGAACAGCACAAAGCTGCTCCAGGGGAAGTTCAGACTGGACATTGCAAAAAATGTCTTTACCATGAGGGTGGTCAAACACTGGAACATGGCTCCTTGTGAGGCGGTTGATGCCCAGTGCCTGTCAGTGTTCAACAGGCATTTGGACAATGTCCTCAATAATGTGCTTTAACAATATGCTTGGTTATGAAGTGGTGAGACAGATGGACTTGATTTTTGCTGGTCCCTTCCAACTGAACTGTTCTGTTCTACTCATTTTGTTCTATTGAAAACTACATATATCTACAGCAATCTATTGAGTTGAAGGGAAAATACGCTATCTTGGATTCAAGTATACTCTGCATATATATGATATATTGCGAATTACTTGTGTACTTTATTTTACCTCTGAGTTAGGTTTACCTTTGAGTTGTACCCAGTATTCTTTATGGAATTTTTGCTGAAGCCCTGACTAGAAATTCATATAAATTAAAGTTGCCAGTACTTCTACATTGTATTTAGTTGATGAAAAGCTGAGTATTATAAGCTACAGAGATATTTGTCTCGTAACATCTATAAATAATTTATGATATTAATGAATGTAAATGAACTTTTAACTGTCCCATAAGATAGTATAGTTAAAATGAAGTATTACTGTTGTAATATAATTTCCATATATTGAAGCTGTTGTTTCTGCTGAATGAGGAAAAAGCTCATTTCTAAAGTTGTGTAGCAGAGTTAAGCAAATACTTTTAAGTCCGCATGTTCATAAGTGACAGCTATGTATTGATTTCCACAATTGCATGCAGAAGAAATGCTTCACCACAGACAGCTATATTAAATTTTACTGTTCAGGCTCACTTCCCTTTCTACTTTGACTTTCGATTCCAAGAAAATGTGGGTGTAATTTAGGTCTCCTAGTCAGTGATTGAGAAGAAAGTGTCCTCAAAATATCTGTAGAAAAATTCACATTACAATAAAGAGAAATGGACGTTGGATTACAAAATATTTTATCTCTTTGAAGCACTTGTAAGTAGCCAGTGGATTTATTAACGGTTTTGGATCAACCATCTAGAAGGTGAAATTCTTTAGTCAATGGTATAGGTACAGGAGGCCAGGTACAACATAGGTTCTCTTTTGACTTTTCTCCAAATAACTTGAACTACTGACTGAGGAAATCAGGCTGGTTATGTTACCACACCTTTTCTCTCAGAGTAAGGAGGGGAAGATTACTTGACTGATTATTTCCTGTCTCTTGTCCTTCTATGTCTGTCGAACAAGGCAGTTCAGGAACTTAAATATGCTATTTCAATTTATGCATAAAAATTGCAGAGAAGTAGTACATTTGAAAAATTAGTATCAAAATAGAGTCTATTTTATATAACTGTGTTATGATATGACTAATGTAATTACTTCTGGAAGAGTAACTATCCATTCTACCAGGGAACAGTCTACTCTGGAATTTTTTTGTTTAGCAACATTCCCGGTGGCATCTGTAAAGGGACAGTTGATCATCGGCTTGTATTTTTTCAAAGTATTGCGCTATAATTGAGGCCTCTTAGACTTGAGCAAGCCAATTCTTTGGGTTTTTTGTTGTAATTGTTGTTTTGTTTTCTGATTTATTCTGAAATCTTACTCTTTACAATGAAAAATGATTAGGAGTGGAAAGATGTGTGCTTGGTATTGGGAAAGAAAAAAGTAGTTATTTTCCTGTAACTGTTGTTCATTGAGAAATATATTTTTTTCTTGCTGCTTTGAAGTTATTTCTGTCATCACTGTAATTCTCAGTGCTCCTGTGAAAAGAAATTGAGAGGGAGTTGGGACAGTCCTTTCATGTTTTCAGCTGTAAATAGAAAGACATGGAAAAGACAGGCTGTGCCCCAGAGGCACAGCTAATAGTAGGCTCCCAGTGCAATGCAATAGGTGCACACTCACCTGCAGTGGCATACACATACTCTCCATTGCTCAAAAAACAGCAGTGTATAAGTGCATCTTCTTCTTGTGTTTCCAACAGAAAATTAAGGAAATAAGCAATGGTAGCCAGAACAGTTTATGTATGAACTATATTGATTTTTCTAGATTAGTCTTGATGCTGTGGTTATGTGTGAAACTGTCTTAAATGAGCAAACAAAATAATTTGCTCTCTTCCAAAACAAATTAATTACATTATAACTGTAATTTTCTTCAAATGATCAGGAAGGTAAAACACCTGTTTTTTTAATAGAAACAATAGCTTTTTATGACTGCCTCTGAGATATTTTCAGATTATGAAATATACAATTAATTTCTATCTGAATTTCTAATTAGAGAAGAATCCTTTAGCTGTTTCTCACATACTGTGGAAAAGTAACCCATGTAAGCACTTCTGCCAATTTAATATGTAATAACAAAGCTGTAATTGATAAAGCAATATGAAACAAGTGTTTCAAAGCAATCGTTTTCTTAATGCTTTACATAATATAAATATATAAAGATGTGTGCACACTGAAAATCAGATGTTATCCATGATATGTTCTCTGTATATTAAATCAGCAAATAAAAACATATCATAAATTTGGCTGAGAAGTTCTCCTTCTCTAGCAAGTGCCATTAACACGTCTTTTGCATATCCTGTGAAATAAACAGCTATGCTTAAAAGTAGAAGCAAAAGAGTGAAATCAAGATTAAAAGGCAAAAGAATAGTGGGTGTACATGTACAGTATTTACTTATCCCAGATTATTAATACTTCATTGTTCCTGTTCCTCCAAATGATGAGTTATTTAAGTGATTTAGTAGAAGGCTATGCCTTTTTCTATGCACTCTTGTGCGTAAGTGTATCCATAGTGTTGCGTAGAAGGCATGGAGATCAAAAGATGGTACAAATAACAGAAAATTGCATTTTCCGGAAGAGTCTTTGGTCTTTTTAGTGAGTTATTTTAACATAGGCATATACAAGGTAGTTCAAAGGCTTTTTAGAAAGTACAGTTTTTTGTTAACAATAAAGTAAGACATTTAATTACTGCCTATTTAGCTGGAAATGCTATCATTCCTGACATTAGTCAAAGTAATGGTCCTTACTGTACCCTACATTTAAGTGTCCAGCAGCATTAAAAACTTGCAAAATTATTTTATAATAGCCAGATCATGGATGCTTTGTCTTTCATATCTAAATTATTATGAGAATTCCTAACTGCATGTACATTAACATTTTGTATTTACACAGCCTTTAAAGAATTTCATATTGTAATTAATCGGTAGTTATGCTTCTTCGTTTTTGTTTCTAAAGTGTTTCAAATAAATGCTTCTTCTTCTGTAGAATTTTATCCGATCGATAGATTCAGGAGAAACCAACTTGGATGGAGCAATAGGTAAGATAATCTAGGATATTGCTGCACTTTCATATGTAGGCATTATAACTGTTGCATTTTGAAAAGCAATATAATGATTTTTACCAATAGGACCAGCTGCATCAGAAGAATTGATTAAGACTACTTTAGCAACATTTGAAGCAGTAACACAGCATCCTGTCTTGTTGACAAGCCATCGCACGACAGTAAGTCTGGCAACAAATTAATTAACTGCAGGGTAGTTGGCTGAAACCTATTGATAAATTGAATGTTTTGAAGATTTAGAAGCTGTTTGAATTATGCGTTAAAATGTTTTGTGGTTCTATCTGACAAGAATATTTTATTGTTTATAAATAGATTTAAATTTCAAGGACAAAGTAAAGCATTTGGACTTGGTTTACTACATTTAGTTCAAAAATTACAGAGAGAATGAGACAGATATTTGCTTAAGGTTTGGCAATAGCAGTTCTTAAAATGATTTTCATATAAATTTAACACTTGATTCTGTAAGCAAGTATGTTGCTACATATTCATGATTTTTTTTCCACTTTGTCTATATGCTTTCAATATATCTTTGAAAAAACAGTTTTGAGGGGTTAAAGACACCATTCCATCAACACCATTCCCAGTGAAATCATCAACAAGATGATTATAACAGTTTAACGGTTTATAACAGTTATGATATTTTTGTTTGTGTGTGTGGATGTTTTTCTCAAAGTATAACTGTTTGCTTACCTAAAATTGTATTACGATTACTAAACCCACATATTGTATGTCTCACATATCACTAAAAATTTGTTTTCTTCAAAGTTTTTGGTTAGTTTTTATTTGAGCTAAGCTGGCTGAAACCAGAAGTTATGTTATGAAATAATTGTCAGCAAAACAGTAGGTCAGAAGGCTTGAATTAGTGATTGACAAATCATTGTAAGTTGTCCCAATGCATTTTTGTGCCTGAATTCCCAGCAAAAGTATGACCCACCATACTTAATGGGATGACCATTTAAGTCCTATTGAAATTTGTGTTTCTGTACTGAAATTAAGTTAAGGGGACACTCATTATAGCACTTAAGTCAAGCACATAAAACAGCTTTATTTTATCAAGTTATGCTAGATAAGAATGAGTGTGTCTTATTTTGACAGAAATATGTACCATATTTTATAGAGGTCTGTCAACATTTACTAAAATTGCAATACCTTCTGTCCGCACATTAAGTAGGCTTCACCTAGCTGCTGTTTAAACTTTAATGGTCTGGTTTTTGTTTTGTTTTGCTCTGGAAAAATAGCATGAAGGGGATAGCTCCCTTTTACAGCCCTTCCTCCTCTGCTCCTGTCCCCTCATTCAGTACAACATTATATTGAATTATAGGGAATGACTGTCCCACTCTCTTGTAAGTAACCCTTGGCTAGTAATAAGTGAGTTTTACTTTAGTACCTAAATCTGTGGGGAAGAATTTACTTCATCACACATGTTGAAAGTTTTAGTTTGTTTAAAGCCTGTATGAACACATCAAGTAAGATGTAGATGTAGATAAAACTTCCTGCCTTTCCAATGACTGTGATTTTATGACACATATTGCTTTAGTAAAATAGGTTCTATGATTTAGAATGTCTGTATCAACATTTATTAATTTAAGAATAACTCTATCCTTGTCAATGAACAACTTTTTTTAATTAGTTTGAGAAAATAAAATTCATTACTTTGTTCACTCATTTTCAGAAAGAACAGTTCTCCTTAGTTTAAGCCCTCCTGACACTCAACAAATAGCCATTCAGACAGAAAATAAAGTGGAGAAAGTGCCTTTAATTCAGTATGTTAAATTCAAGAAATTGTCCACTGTAATTAATAATCTCTAACCACATCTGCCACTAGTGGTGCAAACAGTAATTAGTTTAATACTATTTACGAAGTCTAGTGTGCTAATTATACTTGAATGTACAGCTTACATTACTTCAGAGGAAAGTGGTACTTCATCTTCTATGATGCATACAGAATATTTTTAGAAATGCTGTTACTCAAGGGATATCTTCTAATTGCTGCTCACTGTGCATGACTGGAATCTATGAATATAAATGCCAGCACCCAGTGGAACTTGGTGCTTTTTTTAAAAGTTGAAGCTAGACATGTTCAAGGTTCCAGATCAATATTTAAGTATAGCAGCGGTTAATAGGAAACTCTTTTACTGAGAGAAATGTGTATTTTAGGTTGATCTCTGATGCCTTGATTGTTCATTTAGTCAAAGTTGGATATGAGCAGCATTTTATGAAGGGGAGAGTGGGGAAAAAAAAACACATTCTTGAGGATGTGTTTTTTCCACTATAACTGTGATATTTCTTTAAAATTTCTAATCAGAAATGAAATTCATATTTTTAACTAGGTTTAATTAATTTAATAATAAATGAGGTTACATTAAGCAAGCAGAACCAGTGTTTTTTGTTTAGGTCTGACTTAATTTCAGTGCAATGAATGTTCTGTAAGTTAAGATGAGTTTAAGAGTAACATTTCTGTGTTTTTTTTCCACTTCGAGAAGAAAAAAAATACGCTTTTTCTGGGTTTTAGTTTGTTTGATTTCCCTTTGTATTTGTACCTTGAACAAAGAAAGTTGAAAAAATTGATTTTCGTGATCAAATTTCTGATTGCCATCGACCTGAAGAAAGTTATTGAGGAGATTAATTTCTGTGGTGACTGACTATATTTTATATTGCTAAGTATGGTAAAATTAAGTGAAACTAATTTAAAGGAGTGCCAGTAATGAGCAGTCATTTCATTTTGTATGCAGTTGTGTGCATTTTTACAAGATATAAAGTAGAGAATAATAGTAAGTGCAACTCAGCATGTTTTGACCAAACTGTACTCAAATATTATGATGAAGGCCCTCAAAAAGAATCTCTATAGGCTGGAATGGAACATAAGCCATGGTTTTGTAAACCAGCACAAATCCATGTGTTTGTTTCCTCCTTATACCTGAAACAGAAAAATATTTAATAAATTCAGATAATAAGTGTTATAAATATATATATGTAAATTTTGGTAAAGGTTAAAATTTAATTAAGAATTATGTACCACAAGTATAATTAGTATATTTCTTCTCTTTCTCTGTTAAGTGTACTCATTTGCCAAAAAAAAAGGACCAATAGTAATTCAGAGTGCTTTGAGCAGTGATGAGGTTCACGATAGCAGTCAGTCAGTTCCTGTGGGAATCCTTTTTGTACTCTAACTAGCTCCTAAAAATGCTCTCCACACTGCACAGACGATCTTTTACATGAAGCATGAAAGTTCTCTGGTTGAGACAAAAGTTGTCAGCTATGATTCTCCTCCTAAAGGTTTCAGAACCTATTTTTAAAAATCAGGCCTAAATAAAAGAACCTTGAACCCGATGAGTTGCTTGATGGGAAGTCAAGGGAAAAGCAGTATGACATGGAAAACTACTGACTGACAATATGAGAGTTATTATTTTTACCGCACATGACAACAGGGGATAGAAACTTTAGCAAGTGCTTCTCTCAGCTCATCTTAGTCTTTTCTTTATTCAGCATCAATGTGTTCTTCATCCATAAGCTGTTCTGATCTAACCACTGACACCCTAATTTTGTCAATGTAGGGCATGACTATGTGGACATATTATACATCATTTCATCAATCACTCTTGCTTTTCAAGCAGATTAAAAGCATACACCCCATGTGGCTTTCTGTCTATTACACTAATCCACATGACACAAGGCTTTTTTTTGGTGTGCAAAACCAGTTCTGTACTAATTGACATATTGAGTCAGTCAATCAGTGCTGTCTCTTCCCTGAAGTAAAAAAAAAAAAAAAAAAAAAAAAATCTCAATGAAGATTCTGTAGTTCTGAAGACTTTTCAACAAAAATTACAAAAATGTCATCCTTCTCCCCAATTCATTCTTACATGTATTATATTATTGTTTCCATTACATTTTGAGAGATTACTGGGAATATAAAGAACACTGAGGAGCATGCTGTGCCTGCAGCAGATGCTTTAAGAAATTTGAAGGCAGCACAATTCTAATCCCATGGTCACTCAGCAGCAACTTTGTATGTGGAATTTTAATGAGCATAAATGTCAGGGTGATGTTGGTTGTTGTGGATCTTACTTGGGATTGGAAATAAGGTTCTGGAAGCTGATCGTCGTTGCTTTATTACATTCTGCTTTGAATTGTGGGTAAGGAGAAGGTATTTGTCAGTAGTTGTAAATTAGACATGTGCACACTGGAAAGAATAAGAGACCTCAAGAAAAATCCCTGAAGGTAGTGTGCTTTGTCATTTGCAAGCATGGGTAAGGTAGCTGCATGGAATGGGCAATGTAGTTTCTTTATTTCCAGTCCACCCTGTGTGACACCAAATGCAAAGACTTTGTCCATAAACACTGCCCTGAAGAGCTCTGGAACTCAGCTGTAAGCAAGGTAAAGATTCTTTAGGCTGGTAATGTTAGTCCTATTGAGGCAAGTTCTGTGGCCTTGAGAAGAGGGTTAAGCTACCCATAAAAATGTAGCCTCTGTTGCAGGTGATAACAGGTAATGTTGGCTATATGCTAGTTCGTTAATACGTGGCGGTTGCATGTATGTGTTGAGTAGCTGAATTCATCCTTGTTGACTAGCACAAGTGAATGGATGTGTAGTTCTCCATCATAGGGTTCCTTCCCTAAATAGGAATATGCTAGTATGGGACCCTTCCTCTGTGAGCCCTTGCAGTGTTATAACATCTCTTTAGCGCTTATATATGGAGCTTTGACATTGCTTGGTGAGGTTAAGGAAAAGCTGAGGCAATGTTTCTTTCTTTTGAATGTAGGAAAGTTTATTTAGGGTGCTGGCCTTATGTGTCTAATGTGGCCTGTACAGTACAGACAAAAAGAAAGACTGAAATCACAGTTGTCTCTTCCAAGCCTCCTCCCATTAGTACTTGAATACTTCATTACTCTGAAAATACGGCTTGCCTCTCTTTCTCTTTTGAAGGTTAAAGTAACACTGAGACTTTACAGAAGATTTTCCATTAAACTGTGGTTTGCTTCCAATAGATCTGATCTGTGTAGCTGATAAAATTCTGTAGAAAAGTGAGTACAGCTTTTGCCGGATGCTCAGACCTCAGTAGTATAGTTTTCCTTGCAGGAATCAATGTTATTAAGAAGACAGATGTTCTTTTTTGGATTGTTCTTTTGGGTTTGGATACTCTACTTGGATTTTCAGAAAGTTTTTGACAGTCAATGCACCAAAGACTCTTAAAATCCATCAGTGGACCTTTTCTCTTGTCTTATAGATCAGCTTCTTTTACGTAGTTAAAATTTAGTAAGTAGAGAACTGAGATCAATTTTAAAAGTGTAGGTATATTAAGAAGGATGCATTACAAAGATCTATGTTGCTATTTATAAGTAATTCAGAAAAGGGGATGAATAGTGAGGTGACAGCTGACTGATGATGCTAAGTTATTCACAGTAGTGGAAACTAAAATTGACATAAGAGTTGCAGAAGGTTTTCAAGATACTGAGTAAAAGAACAACATAATGATTTGCAAGATACTGAGTATAAGAACAACATAATGACATGCAGTTCAATACTGATAAATGTCAAGTGATGCACATAAGGAAAATCATCCAATTATGCCTATACGATGTCAGTCTCTAAACTACTTGTAACTGTTTTGGCTATCTTTTAGCATAGTTTTTCTATGAAAATGGTGGTGTTACATTCAACTGTAATCAGAAAGACAACTACATTATTAGAAATGACTGATAAAAGACCACAGAAAACACCACAGTGCCATAGAAGTCCATGATTCCCTCCAGTCTTGGATACTGAGGTCTTGGATAGTTGTGGTCTTTCACTCTAAAAGAGAAAAAGAAAAAGTACAGTTAGATAGTACATAGATAGTTTGATAGTACAGTACAAAGGAGGGACTGAACAGATAAAAAGTTCAGCTTGGAAACGAAAGAAGGAGCATATAAATTAATGGATGGCACGGAAAAGATGAATTAGAAATAATTATTCGTGTTTTTTGAGTGAGTATCAAGTTGGTAACTAGATAGGTGTTTTAAAATAAAGTGCTTTTTCATAAAGCATAACTGAAGTGTGGAATTCAGTGTTGTAGGTATTGCACATGCTAAAAGTATAAATACATTTTAGGTAAGATTGGACAGATACATGAAGAAATGTTGGTAAGCTTTTATTAAATGCAAAAATACTGATGCAATTTCAGCTTAGGAAAATTTCTTAACTCGAGTTGCTAGCAGCTAGAGTTGTACTTTTAAGCTTTGTGTGTTTCTCCTGTTCTTATTCTTCTCCTTTCCAATTGTTAGAAACAGGATTACTAGGTTTGAACTACATTTTTCATTGGTCTAGTTCATATGTATTATAGCTGGGAGATGTGTATGGAAATTTCATTGCTATTTTTTTCAGTACTGATGACAGCATAGTTGTTGAATGCCACAATCACAGAATTATACAATAGTGGGCTTGTGCAGTTAGGGAGGGGTCAATTGTGGACTAGGTATCAGTCTCCTTAGTAAGTGGTAGGAACCCAGATATAGCTATGATCATACCAATATTCAAACTAATATTAAAACTATCTAGTCTATTTAGGCATAAATTATATTTCCTACTTTTTTTTTTTTTAATTGTAAATGGTCATAGTGATAAAGTCTGAAAAGAAAAATATCTGAATACCTTCATGCATACATGGAGATTCGATGCCAAGAAGATGTCAGCAGTCGTTTAAAAAAAGAAAAAAATGAATCCTTGCTTGAGTATTTGTTTCAATAGCTCTAAAAATACCAAAAGAGTGATAATATGCTTCTGTATACAAACCTTATAGAAATTTATTAAATTTGCTGATTAATTTAAAGTATTTTTATGTACTGAATACAGTATTATTATGCTTTCCTCGCATACACTCCAGTTTATTTCACCTTGATGTCTTGTTTTTAAATTTGTGTACACATTGCATCACAAAATAATTTTCCATAGAGTTAGTGCTACTGCACCAAATTGAAATGAGGCAAACACCTGCTGTGGAGCATTCCATTCTAAACAGATTGCCAAAACTGGGGTTTCTATTAGTAAAAGGTCAGAAAAAAGCTACTAAAATTATTTAAGACCTAAAGAATGTTCTTTACAATGACAGTTAAAATATATTTATCTTAGAAAACACTGGTTTGACTGCATTATCTAATGTGGAAGGACTGTCATTAATACTAGATGAAGATGAAAGGAAATCTAGGTTTCAGAAATCAAAGTCGCATCATACTGCTGTGTACTGCCATCTTAATCGGTGTCAGTCTGACTCAGTGCTGCTGCTAAGTGATTTTTAATATTCCACATCCATACATTGCTTCAGATAAATGAGAGATGTTCTTTTGCTTTGTTTCTGTCTGACAGCTTTAATTTACTACTTAAACGTGTCTCTTCATTTGAGGAGCATTGCAGTAGGTTGAACTGTTCTTTTGGATTGAAGAACCTTAAGTACATACATTTTTTAACCTTACAAGTTTGTGATAGCGAATCAGTTACCATTTGCAGAACAGTTTAGAGACCTACAAATGGAGCAGTTAGAATGTAGTGTATTATTTATCTTACTACGGACTAAGATGAAATATTTCAAAATGATGACATTACAAAAGGCACTAGCTGCATGCATGATACATAGCATTATCTGTATAGGTATAAAGGCTATCTGTATTGCAAGAGTAAACCAACTTCTATACCTCAAGCAAATTCCTTTACCTCTTTTATTGAAAACATGTAACAAAGGTATTTTTTGTAATTTTTCAGAAGTGAAAAAAAGCCAAAGTCTAAACAAATTCCTTAAAGCCAGGGATTCCTTTAACAGAGACTACCAACTAGCAATGCAATAGTTAACTAAAATAGCTCTAGTTACTGCTGACTAGAGCCTAATTTCATTTAGTGACCCCTTTGCATTATGTATTTTCAGCTTCTATAGCTTTTTCTTAATAGTAGATGTTTAACTCTAGAGGAGTTATATCTTCTAGATTTTAATCACTAAAACAAAACACACGGGGAATTATAATCCAGTCTTACTGCACCAAATCCTATTCATGGTGTAGTAAAAGCCTACACAGTAATTTTATTTATATAAATAAAACCAAGGGCAAGCTGTGTATCCATGATGCATACTTAAAAATTACCAGGCTGTCCATCCATCTCTCCCCAAAATAAAATAAATTAAATATCTAAACTTGCTGATTTCAAATGGAATGGAAGAAGTAGGAAAAACAATATAAAAATATACTCCAATACCTTAATAAATGTTTGACCTTCCTTTTTTTTTTTTTTTGAAGAATCCCGAGTAATGCCATAGCTGAAGCATAACAAGGCAGTATTTCTTTCTGTTGTAAGTCCTATATGACATTCCCACACTTACGTCTCTTCATGCTGATGTTGTTTTGCACCACCTGCATCTGGATACTTAGTGTACTTCTCTGTTCTCTTTGAGGGTATGTTGAGGCTAGAGGTATGTTTCCAAACCAGTCACCAAGGAGGAGATGCTGTCAGCAAATCTGGAGTAGCACAATGGCAGTAGGGGCAGGGTTGTATGGGAGAGTACCTCCGAAGGAACAGAGTGATAAAATGCATGTAGAATAATCTGCAAGTAGAACAGTAATCATTTTGAAGAAAAAAATATCTGCAAAGTAGGGGAGACTGTCTGTCCTGGAGTATTTAGGAAGTACTATTTCAAACCATCTCCATCTAGATTTATGAGAGTTAAGAAATAAACAGTAGATTCCGTACTATTTCCACTCTCTTTTGCTTTTTAGTCCTGCTTCAGGCATCCAAAATTAGGATAAATGATTTTCTTCATATTATGGCAGTGATTCTTACTTTTGATCTGAAGTCTGTCCTAGACAAAGGATCAGGTCTAAGTTATCAGAATAAATAGCCTAATATTGTATTCATATACAAAGATGTCATTCTGTTTTTTCATGCAATTATTTCATTTTTTGTTCATATTAAGATCTCTAAAGCCTGTACGGTCTAAATAGTTCTTTTACTAATGACTTAAGACTTAGTAATGTATTCTCTTAAATAGAATACTTATAATACTCGGTTTTTAATATTAAATATATAAAACTAATTTTTATCATAGTTTGCTGTAAGTTGATTTCAGATGGAACTAAGCCAACTAGTTCTGTGACAGATGATCAATCTGTAATTCAGCATGCGCATAGATAATAAAGAGTTGACTGATTTATTTTCCATATTTTAAATCTTAAGTCTGTAAACTTAAATTTTAATGGAAATTCTTACATCTGCACTAAATTCTGTATTTTAAATGAAAATACACTCTCAATGAACTATACCAAAGTTGATATTGTTTTCTGTGTAAGTTACTCTCTGTAACTTTATTACAGCTTACCAAAGAAAAGTGTACTTGGTGGCTTTATAAGTGTGATTATGGATGGTTTTCCGTGATTATTCATCTCTTTGATTAAGGGCTCCAGCAGTGGAATAAACATAGATATGTCTCTGTTCTATTTTTCCCCGTGAATAATCTAAACCAGATCTTTCTAATCCTCTGTTTTAGGTTGAAGACTGCGTTCTCCCACCACTAGTTTCTTTGGTCCATGGTCAGAATGGTAAGTATACGGCCACATCAACTACAGTTTCCATGAATTCCACATTTTGTTTTAATTAGACTTCAGTGTGGTCACATTCTTGGCACCTTTATTTTTAAGTGGAATGGAGACTCTTCAGCTTGCGGTTGCTCTCAGAAACCACATCACTGCTCTTAAGCCACGAGGTCATGGCTGAGGAGAAAGGGGAGAGCCTCGACTCAAACAGCAAGCTTCTGTCTCTCATTAGAGATTCCTTGCTGCCTCAGTAAGTATAATATTGTTGCTTTAGTGGGGAATAACTTGATATTCAATCCATTTTGACAGCATATTTGTTTTAAATACCCTTTTTATGTTTAAATGGCAAAATGAAAAAAAGAAATGGTAATCAGCTGCTGTCTGAGTTCTGTGCCCAACATCTCTCTCCTAGGTTAATTCAGAACTTGGTTGTTTATAACACCACCGCCACTTCTGTCTGACACTAATTTTTGCATCTTGGTGATACTGTGCCTCTGGCCGCTCTTGTTTCTTGAAGTGTCCCCTAACTGTGATTTAAATACCCTCTCTTTGTTCAGCTGATAAAGTCAGAGCATTCTAACACCAGCATCTTCACTATTGTGGGTACTGTGGCCTCCCGGATGACATTTTAAGATCATATGGAATGGCTTATAACTTTCAAAAAAAGGAAAAGTTACACGAGAATTAGTCCTCTGTGTTCACAGAAGGGTTATTGTTTCTAAACTGCTGTCCTTTCCCACTGCCCCAAGCAACAGAAAAACCCTGTGCTAGTGGATGAAACTACAGCCTGTGGGCCAGCTGTGGCCTGGAACTTAATTTCTATGGCATATAGTCAAATGATGCCTGTCATTTCAAAATGACTTGGATCTGAACCTGCTTTGGCAGGGGGTTGGACCCTATGATCTCTGGAGGTCCCTTCCGACCTCTGCAATTCTGTGATTCTGTCTTTATGCTCACCTGCGTGTGTTATGCATATGTGTACTGTGGGCTGATAACATCTCAGTAGAGAGAAAGAGAACACAAACATAGGATGAGTACAGTAAAGATGAAAATTATCTTTCACATTATTCCAGGATAATGTTACAGTGCATTTTAATGTGTGGTCTTCCAAAGTTAGTAATTGTCAATACTTAGCTGCCCTAAGTGAGGAAATTGTTCCCCACCCCTACATTCAGTAAGTGACAGAAGGGTGGAGGAATGGATGCTGGATTATGATCAGAAACGTAGTGCCTTCCCTAAAAATGAGACTGTCTCTTGCTAATTGACTAATGCTCTTAAAATTCAAGAACCAAAGTTCTGTCTGTGCAATATTTATAAACTTTTCTTTGTGAGAGAAAATGGGAAGGAAATCTTAGTGATATATAGAGAAGCTAATTTTCAGATCTTTCTTCACACTGTTTTTTGAACTGGAAAACAGAATTTTTAGTGTGAATTAAAATGGAAACTAGAAATATTAAAGAATAAAGTATACATATTATTAGAAGCTGTCAGATACTTTTCTTCAGATAGGGTAAGACTTCAAGTCAAGCAAGACCAAGTTCTGTCTTTGAAATTTGCCCTTTGAAGACATGCCCATCTTAAAACATGTTTCTCACAGAGCTGGGGGAGTGGTCAGGCTAACTCCAAACTAGAAGGAAGACAACCAATATACTATTGTCTCCTCTTCTAATTAGCTCAATTGGGTGACAAACCTTTATTATGGTCTGAGACTAAATACGATTCTACTTTGAAGAATTCAGTTGTGCTATCTTTGCATGCATTGTATTGTAGATGTATAAAAAAAAAGTTTTGCAGTAGCTCAGAAAGCTCAGAAGCTAGGTTCCAGGCTTGGCTTAAATATTTCCTGAATCAGTTCCTTTTTCTCACCAATAGAGATGAGATAATACTTGCATTTGAAAAACATTTTGAGATTATTTTAAGAAAAAAAAAAAAGAGAATTGGAATATACATGAGCTAGATAGAAACAAATTTCACTCTAGTTTAGGAGCATGATAGAACAGCATGTAAATCTTTTAGTAATTCAGAAAGAGTTAACGAGTGTTGATGTATTTAATACATTATTAGAACCTGCGAGTTAATCCAGCACTTAGTAAGTATGTTCAGCTGTGGGGCGCAGGTAATCAATGCAAAAATGCACAGGTGGAACAAAAAGCAGAGGACGGTTGAAGGATTTTCTGCAGAAAAGAAAATTAAGCCTTAGTTTTGATTTGAAAGTCTCTAAACTGAGTTTTGAGAAAAATTAGAAAAGGAGACTAAAGGAAGACCAAAGCAGCTGTTTTAGGTATCAGAAAAGACACTAAAGGTAAGTTGTGTTCAACATTGTTTGAGGTATGGATCAGAAAATATTTATGGGAGGTAGGAATGAATCTTCATACAGTCTCCACAGAGCTCAATAGAAGCTTTATCTGAATGCAAAGCAGTCTGGCCTAAATCTATGAAGAGAGGCTTAAGATTAGGTGCAGGCTCGATCTCAAGAAGTAACAGTTACCTGAAAACTATGAGATAGAAAGTAAAGCCTGTATTTAGAGACTGAAGAGATGTTTGCTTAAGTTGTTTAGTCCTTTTGTTCCTGGACAAAGGATGGGACAGAATGTGACTCAGCTGGAGGACAGTCAAAAGATGAGAAATGTAATGGCTGCTTGATCGTGGGCACTCTGTGGGGAAGAAGGTATTTCTACCCCTCTTAATCCTGCTTGTTAAGAGATGTGAGCTGTTGGGTATTCAGCAGAAAGGCATCTAGGTTTAACAATTTAATTTAAGTGTAAAACTTACTCAGAAAGTAGAATTTCAGTCACTATTCATGAAACATAAATTTCCTGTCAATGCAGGAAAAATAAGTGCTTACCATTTTTTTCCATATCTTCTGCATTATCAGTAGAAGGGTTCTTTCATTAAATATTTGTTCATTTGTAGATCAGAAGATTAACTTCCTTATAGGACTTCATTCAAATGAAATAGTCTCATTTAATTCCACGTAATTGAGATGTTATTTTCCTGAGCTTTTTGTAACCAAAATGAAACTTTCTTCTATAGGAAGTGAATGAAGTACATCATTTCTATTACATATCCAGGTTTTTAAATTAGAAATTCAAACATCAGCCCTTTCTCATTTAATTCTTAACATTCTTTAATATTCCAATATGATTTGACATACCATCATTTAAAACTTACGTTGGAACCAGCAACAGGAGAGTAATGTGTTTTTAAAGATTAGCTTGCTCTCAGTAGAGTGTCAAACCAGTTCTTCAAGTACAAAATCCTGGATACTTGAAATAATTTGTAGATAAAATATTTAGTCTTTAAGAGCTTAAGAGAATCCATATCCTACAATCTTTAGGTCCTCTTTTCACTCTTGCTTATGGAACAGACTGACAAAATAACTTCTTGCACTGCAGTACAGGGAGTTTGCAGAACCGTTATACAATGCTTTTTAAAACTGTCGTTACTAAATTGGTTTACATTTTGAAGTGGCAAGGAAATCATTGAATGAACTCATTCATTTAACAGAGTCTCTCAAGCACTGAATATTTTCCCTTTACGGAAGATTCATATATTCATAGTTCCTAAAGGTCTTTATTCAAGCTATGTGTTTATATTAATTGCTAAGACATTCATTTTAGTAATCTGTGTTTTCTCATGTGGTATTTGGTTTGATGGATCATTGCACCTTCCCTTAGAAATACTTTTTACTAATACTTTCTTTGGAGAAAAAAATAGAGTTTGAAGTAAATGGAAATAAAGACTTTTTTTAATTGAACTCCAAGGAATTATGCTGCTAAGTGTGCAGATTATTACTAATCTCTCTCAGATGTAAAAAATAGATGGCTTAAAATGCTTTAAAGTGGACTCCATTTAGAGGAGGTATCAATGTGCTTATAATCAAACAAGTATATCACAAAGTATCAGATTTTTATTCTAGCATGGCTGATTCATTCGTTATTATTGCTAGGAATTAACATTCTGGAGAACTAAATCCGTGTTTTGTGTGGTGAGAAGATGACTTCTGACATTGAAGACACTTTATAGCATCTTTGCTTGCCTTGAAAGATTTATTTTTGGATCCTGAGGAGGGGAAAAAAAAAAGGCAAATAATTGCATTACGCTTTGTAGAAATATGTACTCCATGCATGTAGGGTTTCAGGATCAGTGTTTACTAATGCATTATAGCATTTTCTCCCTTTATGAAGAAAGGGACTTTTTAATCACCAGTGTGAGAAATAGTTTTCTTTGAGGAACTGGAATCTGTTCTTTTAAAGGAAAGATTCTGATCACCAGAGACATGAAGCCAACATTGACTACTCATTGGTCTACAGAGTAGGTTCAGCTGCGAGTGCTTTGTGGCTCTGTGGCAGCACATTCAGGCTGGTATGTAGCAGCTGTGATACATTGCTTGTAGTCTGTGTCCTTGTTTGGAAGGTTCACCTCTTATGAAGGAAGTCTCGCAGGCTACATCAAGAATGTGGAATTGATGTGCTTCTCCCTTCTTTTCTTAGAGCTGCCCAGGTGAGAGACTTAGCCAGAAAGTACATCACCTTCTAGATAACTTTCCTGTGCAAATCAGGGTGCTGAGGTGTGGCCCCTCTGGAGAGGGGATCTTTGATCCACAGAAGAGCTAGCATACATGAGGATACGTGCCAACGTGATGGGACATGACTCAGATCCCTCAATTTAGGTGCAAAGAGGGATGCTAACGTGTGAAGCAAATTTCTCATTTATTTGCTTGATTTTTGTTCATCCCTCTCCCTCCTTCATCAGAACCCAAGACAAAAAATGTGGAAGTATTTTGGTGCACAAAACATGATAACCTACCACATTTTCCTGCAAATAGTCATTTTATTTATATTTGATTAATTCTTCATATTTTTCTTTACAAATCAGCACATACTTACAATTCTATTACTTCCACATGTTTGGAGTAGCACTGCTTGTAATCATAGATGATGTTTTGACTTGGCTATGTCTGTTTTCTTTATGCTTACATTTATCTCTCCTCCGTTGTTGTACATCATTCCTCTCCAGATATATTTCTATTTTAAAAAGATAAAATAAAAATAGTAATTTGTTGGGAGAATATTACTGGGAAACCAGCAGCAGGAGCAAGGTCCATTTTGTGTTTCAGCATCCTGTTTTCCTTTACTAAGGTATCCAGAAGGTGATGTTTTGAAATGTTTCATGGATATTTCTCTTGTAGTTTTTATCTTCACTGTCGCTCTGAATAAGCATTGTTTTAAAAATGCTTATTAGATCGTATATATACATTTATAAATGTTTTAAAACATTTGCATAAATATTATGTACTTATGTATGTACATCTCCATATATATATATATATATATATATATATATACTAAAAAAAAAGTAATTAGTTCTTTTATTAATTCTGTTTTAAAACTTAAGCTGATGGTTTTTAAATACTGTTTCTAAACAGGTCTTGTTTATTGCTTTGTGTAGTTCCAAACAGCATTGCATTTCCATTGTGGTTATTATAAAGTTTGGAAACCTGTTTTTAATAGCATCACCTTATTAATGCACAGCTCTTGTTTTTTTGTTTGTTTGTTTGTTTTTTCAATGTTGCTATTCTCTTCCCCTTCAGGTATGAGTACATTCTGATGGCTCCAGACCCAGTACCAGTGTATGCTCTGAAACTGCTAGTGGCCTTGACTGAACACAGCCCCGCTTCTGTGAGGTGATGTAACTCTCCGTTTTCTGTTGTTCTGAGCGCATTCGGTTTCAATTTATTTTTTTACATTAGGACTTAACAATAATGTAACTCTCACTATCATACTATTTTGACTGACACTTAGGAGATTTAGAAAATCTGTATAGAGCATTTGTTACAGAACATAACCTTATGGCGTTTGTGCTATTTCTATATGATTCTGTTTCTTTTAATATGAATTTAGGCAATGAAATATTAAAGGCAATTATATATTTTAAATATTAATTAAAAACATTTTAATGATAATTTTAATACAAAAACATTATCTAAACTATTCTAAAACGTTATCTAAACTATTGTGCAGTTAAACATACTTGTGCTATTAAAAAGGTGATGCCTTTTTAAATGGTTTAGACCTCTGAGGTCACTTTAAAGATAACCAGTCTTTCTGCAAATACCACTATTCTAAATAAGTTCTCAAATATTGATTTGAACATTTGATATAGGTACACCCAAATATTTAAAAATATCTTACTGGGGCAATGGGAAGGAGACACTTTTTACGCTGTGATGATCCAGGGGGGGGAAAAAAAAAAGAGAAAAAAGAAAAAAAAGGAAGCATACCTCTCATACACGCACACACATAGCTATTCTTCTCCTCTGATCTACCAAGAAAATCATGTTCTTTTTGCACTTAGCAGTGTCCATTCATGGTATCTGATAGAGTTATGGCTAAGAAGTCACTGCATACTGTACTGTCTTGATTTGATTAATTACAATAAGCTCAAGATTTTATATAGAAATTATTTTAATATGTAAATATATATTTACATATATATAACTACAATACATATATATCTAAAAAGAAATTTAATTTTTTCTCCCATTGATCTTGCAAAAGATGAAAACATTGTCTTTTCATCTTTTACAGCGTTATTTTGATATACTCACTAGACTAAAAATGAACTAGAAAATTGAGTGGCTTGAGATTTTAAGCAGTTTGAATACAGTGAGTGATATTTAATTGTATTTATATGTATATAGTTTTTATTGTTTACGATCTGTATGTATATGCTACTGCAGACTTTTATGCATACAGTACAGCTTTCTATTTTTAGTGTTAACCTACAGAGATTCTAATTCTTCAAGCATTACAATAAAATATTTCTGTAACTAGAACACTGGATATTATTGTACTGCTCTTCTTCTGCCTAATGAATTCTCTTTATTTGAAGAATCTTATGTATTCATTACACATCTATAATCATCCCATTTCTCCTGTGTCTTGCTGGCTTTCTTTTACTTTCACTGAATAATTTGTTTGGCTAGATTTCTGAAGGAGAAGAGATTATGCAGGTCTCTTGGTCTGTCTTCTTCCTGATTCTTTGACTTCCCAATTACTTTAGCTGAAATTAGCCCATACATCAAAACTGTGATAAAAAATCATAGTATCTTTGTATTTTCACAAACTGCTAAGTAACAAAGCTGAAAACAGATAAATGCTGGTTAATGCAGATAAACGGTAGGTCACAGCTGATTGTATTTTGGTTTGAGCACTAAAATATCAGTACATATGTAGCTCAGAATTACATATGCTCTTTTTTGCATTTAATTATGCACAGGGAAAGAATCTGTGATTATTGTGATGGGAAGTATGTAGGTAACGCTGGACAAAAATCCTTCAGGAGTAAATTTGTTCCTTGTGGGAAAAACTCCACTGTATTTTAGTACTGCTGATAGTGATGAGGGCCACTTTTCATCAAGTCTCCGTGGTTTCTCTAAGTTTATATTTCATCCACAATACCTGGCTTTGAAGGATGAACACCTTCTCCTTTGAGTTAATTGAAATAAAAAAAAAAAAAAAAAAGGTGGTAGCAAAAAAGGTTGTTGTGAAATGGCAAAATATTAATTTAGCGCTTCACTTATTGCATTCACATCTTTCAAAAATAACTTATTAATCTTATTCCAAAATTTTAAAAAAGATGAATTTGGATGAAGGTGAGAGCTACTATATTTTAGTTTGTATATAGCCTCTTCTTAGAAATGCTAAACTAATACATTATTTCTCTTATTTTCTTTCTTCTTTAATCTTACCACATTTCTTGTTTGTTTCTCAAATTTATCTCTTTTCTTCTTTCTGTTCTCCTCAGTTTCTTCCTATGTACTCCCCAGTAGAGGCATCAACATTTGCACAGTTCTTACTTTAGCATTTGAAAAGAGACAGATGCATTCTAATGTTTGTGTTCTTAGTTTGTAGCAGACACTGTATGTCAGCTAAATTGTTGTGACACCAGAGGAAAAAATTTCAATCATCTTTTTTTGCTATTTTGAACACTATTTTCTACATGAAAGCAGTACAGTTATTCAAGTATTATATTTCTAATGTCTTATAAAATTCTGGTAATGTGCTATACATATTTTAAGTGTCTTAAGTATTTAACATTTGTAAAAATACAAAAAATGCCGTGTAATATTTGCCATTGCTTCACTTTTGGGGTTGTTTATAATATTCTCTATTTCTGGAGCTGTTCCACTCTATTTCTCTTCAATTTAGCAATGGATAATTCTAATTGTGTCCCATTAACTTGCTGCAGAATTGGATCTTTCACAAACATAAGTTCTAGTAAGTGTTAGACAGGAGTTGTAAAAGAAAGAAAAACTTCAATATGTTTCAATAAGCACATTTAGTATTTGGACATCTGAATATATGAGCATCCATAGGAATAAAACTCTGTTTTGGGGGAGGATGAGTATTTTGTTGTTCATTTTCTCCTTAAAGGGATAAAATATAAATGAGTCTAATGTTTACTTTATATATTTTTTCCTTTTTACATCATGCAACAACTGCTGTGTCATACACCCTCACTTAGCATTCATTTAATGAGAAAATGTCAGGTATTAGAAGGATGAACTTTGAACGGAACTTATCCATCAGTTACCTATTTTATGCTTGACTCAAAGCTTGTCTGGCCTTCAGAGTTGCTGATAGTATTCTGTCACAAATCTTCTAAAAACCTATTGGCTTGCTTTTTCAAGAGTTTTTAATATTTTATGATAAGAAAAAATGTGCATGGTAAGGCCAATGCAATAATAGCAAAGTTTACCTTTAGCTATTTTGAAATGGATGATTTTAACAAGAAATCTACATTATTCAGGAAATGTGTAGCTTAATTCATGAAGTGAATGTCTGAACAACGGAAAATTTGCATCCTCCTCCCTTTCCCCCCCTGGTAATTAGTTTTGGAAGATTTTACTCAGATACAGGACTGTTAAGTTATGAAATGTAGCTACGTGTTTCGCTGTGTGTTCTTTTATGAAGATACTTGACTTGTCTGTAGTTGGAAACTTATAGTATTTGAAGACATGGATACACTTGAAACTACGGAGTCTGATCTTTATGGATTGCTGGAATAATAGACAATTTTGTTTGCAAGGAAGGAAGGCAGGGAAATAGAGCGGAGGTAAGAGGAGAGCTAAAGGAGCATTACATACCTGTAGCCCAAAGTCATCAATGTTTGGACAGGTACTGAAGCTGTATTATGGATGGCATCGATGCTCACGTATCTCAGATCTGCAGTTTTACAGTGGTGTTTTAAAACCTAAAACACTTATAGGCAAATTAGGGTATGTCAAAGACCTTAAATTCACAATTACATCTAAATTAAATTCACAATTCATCTGTAGCTCCAAAGGAGACAATATCTGAGGAGTGAACTATTAGAAGTGGTAGAAAGCTGCATGCCGTAAACTTCTCACCTGTCCATGTCACTTGGCCTAAGTAATTTCTGTGCGCCCTGTTTTATTATGTGACTCTGCACACGAAAGCTCATGCTTACTCAACTTCAAGAGCTGAAACTTAAAGATAAATGTCATATATTGCATCAGATGATAATCATGAGAGTAGGACACGTTCCAGTATTCTGTTATTAAGGTCATTTCCTGAGGGAAAAAAATCGTTTAAAAACTAATGTTGTGACCCTTCTTAGATTTATGGTGAATTGAAGGAAGGGAGGAAATTGAAGAACTTTCCCCACCTCCTGTCCCTACTATAAATTTCCCAGACAGACATTAGGCACCACTCTAGGAAAGGGGAAGAGGCGGCAGACAATGAAATAGAAAGATGCTGCAACAAATTATCAGCTGCTTCTGTGTGCCACAGGTCTAGTACGTGAGATGATGATAGATGGATTGACCATGTACACCTCAGGAGATTGTCTTGACTAATTAAAGTAACTCTTTATCACAATGTCTTTGGAATTATCCAAAAATCAATCATGAATGGTCCAATTTTTGAACTTCATTTATGTTATTTTCATACCCATGCATTATCTATTAAAGGCCTTTAATGGCACATTTGCAATCACTGTTGGTAATGGGTTGATCATTTTCTCATACATCATGTTTTTACATTAGCATTTATATACATTTCAGTATATTCTGAAATGATCCATCAAGTATGCATACACTTCATTTCAAATAAGTAAAATAAAAAAAAAAAAAAAGAGTTCAATGTGATGCTTTTAATTGGTTCATGTTGGTAGATTTTTTTTTTTTTTTTTTCGTTCACAAGCACTTGTAAGCATTTTCCATAGATTAGCTTTGTGTATGGTATGTTCTTTGCCATTATGCTAGAGAGCTAGCACTTTCCTTTCCTGGTGAATTGACTAATCTGTGCTTGTATTAATTGCTTTAAAAACACTTTGTTCTGATCATTAGGCATCTGAATTTCCTAGTTTAATGCTGAAGTTCTAGCTTAAAAAAATATATATATTTGCTTTTAAATTACTTAACTGGTTTTTATGTGTTTTCTGTAATAAATACGAATAAAATAATATGGAGAATTTCTGGTAATAGGTAAGCCTATGGAGCCCAGTCCAACTGAGCTGAACAGTAAGATTGTACTTTAAAGGTGTACAACATCACTGAGAAAATTACAATGTGGATGGATTGGGAGAGATTGTCAGATGATGATACATTTTTATTACAACTTTGGGCAATATTTATGTAGATTTTGAACCTGATTCTGA